ACATATTTGATGGAAACATCAAGTCACACTGTAACGATTTAATAAACTTAAATTTTAATGAAACGTTTAAGAGAAGCATCCCATGAGTACTACTGTGGGGAAGGGCCAAATACACTTTGCTTGCCTTAACATCTGGCAAGGAGAATTAATTGCCCACCACATTACCTGGGCACACTTGCACAAAGCGATCTTAGCGCTACGACTATTGTAAGCCTATGTTAAAGTACGGGAGTTACGATCATCTTAGCGCTAAGATCGCTTTGTGCAAGCGGGCCCTGGTACTGTTAAGTGGTTTATCTGGGCATCAATCAATTACTGTTGCATGTTGCAATTGAAACTAGATGAAACTGCTGACAGCTGCATCAGAGCACATTCATCCAACCTGCAGGGTACAAGTTAAAGATTTCAGTCAGCATGTTTACTGTATTTGGCCCAGGATGTGGAATGATGATTCCTGACCTATTTCCAGGAAGTGTCACCAGAACCTGACCATGATAGGAACTTATGTATCAATTATGTGAATCAGACGCCAAGATTTCATGCGAAAGGATGAATTGCTGGTGTACCTCATCAACATCTGTCACTTAATGGTCTAGTTAATGGGGTGTCTGCCAGAACAAATTGTTGGTTGTTACATCCCCTGCTGCATCATACCAAAGATGTTAAAAGATGGTACTTGTTGTTACCCTGGCTCGGCATTAAGGGGCTAAAAACAAGGACTGGTTGGCTTGGAGTCAGTACACTGTGGCTGAGTGGGGTATTCATGATTAACTGCGGCATGGTATCTCAGTGGGCTAGCACTATGAAACCCACATTAGTCCGTACTTGTCCAAGCACACACACGTCGCTATATAAGTGCAATATTCATGGACACGATGTTAAACCTCATTTCATCTCGCCAAACAACATTTGCCATGTGTGACAAATCGTAAAACGACACCCGAAAGTGAAGCAACCAGATTTGGATCACTGTTGGGCTGAATTGAGGATTCGAACTATGTATCCGCGGGACGTCTAATTTCACCTCTTGAAACCACTGGCCTACAGTACCCAAATTTATATATTTGTACACAGATAAACGACCGAAAAATCAGTACTGATTCAATGCGCAAAACAAAAAAACATATCTCCAGTTCTTGTCCGAGAAGTTGTTTTATCAAGTTGTCGATATAATCGATATAATCAGATCCAAACACTTACATTTTTATGAGCTGGGGCAATGTGAAAGCTCTTGGAGTCTGCCTCGTGATCAGGGTGTACACATTACAGACAGTGATCTGTAATACGGCCCACGCAAGTGTGTAATATTTTGGTAACTCTAGTTTAGTGCAGTCTGAAAATGAAGAAATTATCTTGGCTCCCTCTTGTAGTTTTTAAGATAATTTTACAACTTTTCCCCTGTAAAATATTCATTTCAGAGACTAGATGTTAGTCTACAACCTACATGAACAGCTGAGTTGTTGCGATAGAGAAGCTTCACAATGTGGTCGTATGACTTAGAAATATAGGTACATATCAGCTCACCATATCAGGAAACTCTAAACGGTGATACGAAATGAAACGAAACCCCACTTCAAAATGACTTAATGACAGTAGTTAGATGATCAATATTTGGAACCATGAAGGAACAGTCTCATTAACATTTGACAATGATGATTTCATTAAATCAACCAGCTGTTTAGATCCTTTTAGACACCGAGCATGATCACCCCATTCACCCGGCCCTATAGGTCGCCTCTTACGACCAGCACAGATTGTTAACGACGTTGCCCAAGGATATCGCCTGGCTGCAAGAAGCCAACACTCGCACGTGTTTGGCACAATTGTATTGGAGTTATCTCCCTTTGACCACTGGATGCATTTTAACAAAGACCCATCGTGCCTGAATCGCTGACAATTTATAAGGTTCTATGTTGTGCGTCGCCCAAATTTTCAGGAAACGCACAGTGTGGGCCCCTATAGTTTCTATGTGCAAGTATACACCGAGTAAGGAGATACCAGGGAGTGGGCGGGGGCTGAAATGCTCTGGGCCTAACTACGAGTGATTTGTGCTACACCATCAACAGTTTGCATGTAGTGAATACAATACATGCTTACAGAGAGAACAACCAGGCAGCATATGTCTGCAGTCGTTGACGTGACTTGTATTCTCTGATGGTGAAAACGGACAAAACTAGCTAACATGTCATCAAGTACATGTTCCAACATACAACAGCCATCCATTTCGGGGATGATGTTCCTGTTTCTGCTACTGTTATAAGAGGTGGACCCTGTCGACGGGTAACTCGGGTACTCAGATCGGGTGGGTACTGAGCAGGACCCGGGTACCCACGGGACTACCCGGACCCGTGTTGAGACACGTGATATATTGTATAATGACAAAAATTATCTAGAACTCTATGGTTACACTACAAGTCACTAATGTTTGCATTTCTTTCTAACTATGCACCTATTTCCTTCTGACTTGTATATGTTTGAATCAAGATAAAACTTCAGTCAACTTCAGTGTATGCATGACAAGATCGTTTTATACTTGTGTGTCTAAATACTAGTACATTTTGCCAGGGCTACGATCAAACTTTTCCCAAATTGGACAGTTTGTACCTATCTCTTGAGACCTACAGCGGGTACCGGGAAGGGTCGGGTAATAGCGGGTTGGGTACCCGGGTAGTAAATTTGGACTCGTCCCAGGGACAGCAGAGTTTAGAGGGGAAGATAGAGCATCGAAGATGATCCAAGATCAAGAAAACCTTCAACTGCCACCAGTAAGGAAAATGTTGATAAATACATGTGATTGGATTGTGGAACGTCAACGACTCAACACACGTCGCCATCTCTTATGCGAGAGTTGAGAACATTCTGACAGTGGACATTGTTTGTTGTTTAACGCCGCACTCAGCAATATTCCAGCAATATGACGGCGGTCTGTAAATAATCATTTTTTTACCAGACATTCCAGTGATACGGTGACATGCATCAACCAAGTCTGCGAGCCTGACCCGATCCCGTTAGTCGCCTCTTACGACAAGCTTTGTCCCCTTTACGGCAAGCATGGTATTTTGAAGACCTATTCTACCCCGGATCTTCACGAACTGGACATGACAAAGGTTTCAGCACATTGATCAGAAAATATCCCGGTTGAAGGGAGTGGCTTTAGTTGATAACTTGGATCAGTATTGATACTGTGAGGCCATCATTCAAGTACCATTGAGACTTGACCGGGATGCTGCAGTTTCCATGGTTTCCATAGGTGATACACTAACAGTACTCCATTGATGACAATAAGTGAAATGATTATTAATAGATAAGTGTTAAACGCATACTGTCTATCATGCTCATGACTCGATGTCAAATATTATGGCTTTGCCTGCGAATGGCCATATGGAGGTAGAATATATTTATTTAAGCTGAGATATTCTTTTGAAGCAGATATATTATTATAAAATATTGTGCTGTGGAAAACTAAGGAAAAAAGTCATCGTTACTAAGTTATAGAAAAGACTAATGACGACCTGTCTACAAGTGTACTTCATGAGGCTTGTTGTATATATCTTTATTTGTTATGTATTATTGATGAACTACTGTATTTATCTGAACATGTAAAACTGATATCTCCCTCGAGGGAAATAAAACTATATTCCGGAGGTACTTTCAGTTTGCCTCAATGACTATATGGTCTTCCGAAAAAGATCGTGAAGATGAGTAAGAAAATACATATTAAATGTATATTACAAATATTTTCACGTCAAACAACATATGCGCCAATATATCAAATTTCATATATCACGAGATGAGATAAACATGTTATTTAACAGGACAATAGAAATGTACGTCATAAAATATATCAGCATGTCTACAGTTTATACGTTGGTTGGTTGGCTGCATGGTTTGTTGTTTTACGCCGCACTCAGCAATATTCCTGCTATATGACGACGGTCTGTAAATAATCGAGTCCGGACCAGACAATCCAGAGATTGACATCATGCGCATCGATCCACGCAATTGGGATCGATGACATGCATCAACCATGTCAGAGAGCCTGACGACCCGATCCCGTTAGTCGCCTCTTGCGACAAGCATAGTCGCCATTTACGTCAAGTATGGGTTGCTGAAGATCTATTTTACCCCGGATCTTCACGGGTCCAGTTTATACACGTAGCATTATCTGATACCACCACGGCCAACCTACTTCTAGCATGGTTATACTGGATGTGTTAAGCCTATCTGTTTGTGGGAGAATTTATACACTTGACCTGACTCCGGTATCTCGGTCAACTGTTGAGTAGACTGATGCGTAGTATGTAAAAGTTAAGCGTAGGGTGGAAACTCCCACACATCACACCTGATAAAAGGACACGCATATATCGTTTTCAACATCCTGCTAGGTCTCCCTTCAGCTTTGTCGCGATGAGATGTGCAGCTCGTGGTATTCATGAACGTTTTCGACTGATATAACCACATCGATCGGTTGATATAATGGCAATAATAATTATACTTATTCAATCCGACGTCTCAGTTGATCGTGTTCTAAGTTGGTGTATTTCGTATTTTAATTTTTATTGGTTGGATTATAACGCAAGAAAGGGAAATAATGCACGCGGACACATACGCAAACACGTACGCACAACTATACACACACACAGTAAAGTCATTTTAAGTAACTAATGAAGGAGTAACGATATACTCCGAAACGTTGTGTTCCTCATAATAAAGAAGTTGACATCCATAAATTCGCTTCCTTGTGTCTATATACAGCTAAATCTGTATACGATTCATATATTTTCGTAAAAAACATAATATTAGGAAAGTATGATTATACTCATAACAACGTATTGTGTAAAAATTGAGACATGGTAATGTATAAACATAGTTTCCTTTTGTTTCTTTGAATGAATTCATTACAGTCGTTTTTCCATGCATGACCAATCATTTCGGTCAGTCGCGAAATTTATTACGTGGAGTTACCTCCCTTCAAACTCTTCAGTGCGCGAAGGCGAAAGAATATGTAAACACTTCCCTTATTATTGTTGGAAAACGCATTTTAAACAACTTTGGAGCCTAATTGTGAAGTATTGGAAGGACAAAATGTAATGCAGCAACAACGAAAAGATAGTTTGATCTATCTTATGCAGGTAAATATTGATTTGTGTAGCTATTTTATTATAATTAGTCAGTTTTCAACGTTGTCTAAATCACTATTCGATTTGTTATTGTTGAGCTAGCTGAGGTCAGTCCAGTTCCTAGTCTGTTTATATTTAGTAACAGTGCAACACCGCGAGTTTCTATAAAATAAACTAATATGGCAATCTTTCCATAGTTTAAGATTAGAATACAATCAATTGCAAAGATCGAATGGCAAATTCTTACATAATCAAGGCTATATTTTTTCCGTTGTTTGAGTAATTGTTACGCTGACCTCGTCAGCTGTTTCGTCAGTTACTCTGACAGCTTGAAATACACATCGTCATGACAATGGCTTCTGCCATTAGCCTACTAACGTACTTAAAATAACTATGATGGTGGACTGAAGGTAAGATACTTGTTATTTAATACAGATCTGTTTCTGGTTGACTAACTTGGCATTATGAACGGTCTTATTTTGATGATATTTGAACATGATCCCATTTGAATCCCCAATGAACTTTGGGTTAACAGGCCCACCCAAAGTATATTTACCCAACTGTAAAAGTAATTTGTCAGTTCATTTGTACACTGTGCCATTTGCATATTGTTGAATACAGTGGATATTTATTTCATGTTCAATATCTCAGCAAATCATTATTAATGCCAACTGTGTTTAGTCATGTTGATCCTTTGTTATAATAATATTTCATTATGACTCACATGCATTAATTAATTACATGATTTACAACCTCTTTAATATACTTGATTACATGTGGCATCCAAAATAAGAACAATTAATGACTTTCTTGAAAAAATACACGTGAAACAGAAATATGAAGTATTTATCGATGGATTTAAAATCATGAAGATAATGTTGAATACATATGTATATGTTTGCTTGTCATCAAGCTAATAAGTAGAAACATTATAAAACCTTTTATATCTACTACTTGTTAAATCTTTGTAGGTAAGCATGCATTTTACCGCATACCAACTCACCATGTATATTTGATGCTGTAAATACTGCGAAAAGTGACAGAGTGTCCATTTGAAAAATAGGGGCATAAACATGATAAATTCAAAATGAGAAGAAACATTAATCTGCATGCATTTGTAAATTTTATGGTTAAATATGATTCAACCTCAAAGTTGATTATCAGAGCAATACATAATCATGGGAAAAAAACATTAACATCAACAAATGACTTGGAAATAGGAATTCCATGATGCCATGTGGCTTTAGTTACACACAGTCAGGGCCACATGTCAACATGTGTGGTATTTTCTTGTGACGTTGGTAACTTACAAAAGAATGTATTAGAAACAAGCCCCCTCAAATTCTGTAATTTTAGCAAGGCAGCTAAAATCGTATTTGAAAAACAGAAACAGGTATTACATTTACGAGGGAACATGTGTGCATCCCCTTCTAAAATGGCAGAACGTATCTGGTAAATTGTATCTTGGCTCTGTGGAGCCCCTCTTTTTTTAGGAAATAGAGTTATATGGTCATGTTAGTCTATAGTCTTTATAAGCAATGGTGAAGTGATTAACTGAAGTAACCAGTTTTGGAGCAGTAATTTCCACATGGACTGAGATATTGTGTGCAATATACCTATGTGATGTATGCACTATAATCATGATAGCATACATCATATTTTTACTCAACAATTTTACTTGACTTTTTCAAAACTTTCAAACATTGACACCACTATAAATTAAGTAATGTTGCGATATTTTGAAATTTTGTGTATATGATCTGTGTCTTTGATTCAATTGTTGTGTCTTAGTGGTTGCTGTCTGCATGACACATGTGTCACTGATTTATATGTTGTGTCTTAATGGTTGCTGACCTCATGACTCATGTGTCACTGATTTAACTGTTGTGTCTTAGTGGCTGCTGACCTCATGACACGTGTCACTGATTCAATTGTTGTGTCTTAGTGGTTGCTGGCCGCATGGCACATGTGTCATTGATTCAGCTGTTGTGTCTTAGTGGCTGCTGACCTCATGACATGTGTCACTGATTCAACTGTTGTGTCTTAGTGGCTGTCTGACCACATAACACGTGTCACTGATTCAACTGTTACTTAGTGGTTGCTAACCCTATGACACATGTGTCACCGATTCAATTGTTGTGTCTTAGTGGCTGTCTGACCACATGACACATGTGCCATTGATTCAATTGTTGTGTCTTAGTGGTTGCTGGCAGTATGACACATGTGTCACTGATTCAGCTGTTGCTCAGTGTCTATCTGACCACATGTCTCATGTGTCACTGATTCAACTGTTGTATCTTAGTGGTTGCTGGCCACATGACACATGTGTGACCGATTCAATTGTTACTTAGTTGTTGCTGACCACATGACACATGTGCCATTGATTCAATTGTTGTGTCTTAGTGTTTGCTGGCCGCATGACACATGTGTCACTGATTCAACTGTTGTCTCTTAGTGGCTGCTGACCACATGACACATGTGTCATTGATTCAATTGTTGTGTCTTAGTGGTTGCTGACCACATGACACATGTGTCACTGATTCAACTGTTACTTAGTGGTTGCTGACCACATGACTCATGTGTCACTGATTTAACTGTTGTGTCTTAGTGGCTGCTGACCTCATGACACGTGTCACTGATTCAATTGTTGTGTCTTAGTGGTTGCTGGCCGCATGGCACATGTGTCATTGATTCAGCTGTTGTGTCTTAGTGGCTGTCTGACCACATGACACATGTCACTGATTCAACTGTTGTGTCTTAGTGGTTGCTGGCCACATGACACATGTGTGACCGATTCAATTGTTACTTAGTGGTTGCTGACCACATGACACATGTGTCACTGATTCAACTGTTGTGTCTTAGTGGCTGTCTGACCACATGTCTCATGTGTCACTGATTCAACTGTTGTATCTTAGTGGTTGCTGGCCACATGACACATGTGTGACCGATTCAATTGTTACTTAGTGGTTGCTGACCACATGACACATGTGTCACTGATTCAACTGTTGTGTCTTAGTGGCTGTCTGACCACATGACACATGTGCCATTGATTCAATTGTTGTGTCTTAATGGTTGCTGGCAGTATGACACATGTATCACTGATTCAGCTGTTGCTTAGTGTCTATCTGACCACATGTCTCATGTGTCACTGATTCAACTGTTGTATCTTAGTGGTTGCTGGCCACATGACACATGTGTGACCGATTCAATTGTTACTTAGTTGTTGCTGACCACATGACACATGTGCCATTGATTCAATTGTTGTGTCTTAGTGTTTGCTGGCCGCATGACACATGTGTCACTGATTCAACTGTTGTCTCTTAGTGGCTGCTGACCACATGACACATGTGTCACCGATTCAACTGTTACTTAGTGGTTGCTGGCCGCATGCCACATGTGTCACTGATTCAACTTTTGTGTCTTAGTGGCTGTCTGACCACATGACACATGAGCCATTGATTCAATTGTTGAGTCTTAGTGGTCGCTGACCACATGACACATGTGTCACTGATTCAACTGTTACTTAGTGGTTGCTGACCACATGAAACATGTGTCACTGATTCAACTGTTGCGTCTAAGTGGCTGTCTGACCACATGACACATGTGCCATTGATTCAATTGTTGTGTCTTAGTGGTTGCTGGCTGCATGACTCATGTGTCACTGATTCAACTGTTGCGTCTAAGTGGCTGTCTGACCACATGACACATGTGCCATTGATTCAATTGTTGTGTCTTAGTGGTTGCTGGCTGCATGACTCATGTGTCACTGATTCAACTGTTGCGTCTAAGTGGCTGTCTGACCACATGACACATGTGCCATTGATTCAATTGTTGTGTCTTAGTGGTTGCTGGCTGCATGACTCATGTGTCACTGATTCAACTGTTGCGTCTAAGTGGCTGTCTGACCACATGACACATGTGTCACTGATTCAATTGTTGTGTCTTAGTGGTTGCTGGCTGCATGACTCATGTGTCACTGATTCAACTGTTGCGTCTAAGTGGCTGTCTGACCACATGACACATGTGCCATTGATTCAATTGTTGTGTCTTAGTGGTTGCTGGCTGCATGACTCATGTGTCACTGATTCAACTGTTGCGTCTAAGTGGCTGTCTGACCACATGACACATGTGTCACTGATTCAATTGTTGTGTCTTAGTGGTTGCTGGCTGCATGACTCATGTGAATAGGTCTTAAGCAACCCATGCTTGCTGTAAAAGGCTACTAACGGGATCGGCTCAGGCTCACTGACTTGGTTGATGCATGTCATCCTATCCAAATAGCGTAGATCAATGCTCATGATGTCAATCACTGGATTGTCTGGTCCAGACAGGGGGCACGGGTGGCCCAGTCGTCTAAGGTGGCATGATTCGCTGTGCAGAGTTGCATCCCTTGGGCACGCCAGAAACCTATGATTGTGGGTTCGAATCCTGGTTCGCCCTGATTATGTTTCTAGGTTTGTCAGCACCATACCCGTGCTCTGGGTTTCACCAAAGCGGTAAATGTCTGAGGCCAGCATCTCTTCAGGCTTTCCTCCCACATTAAGCTATTACGACATGATATAACTGGAATACTGCTAAAAGCGGCATTAAACCCAACTCACTCACTTTGGTCCAGACTCGATTATTTACAGACTGCCATCATATAGCTGGAATATTGCTGAGTGCGGCGTTGAACAACAAACAACAAACAAACAAACCTCCTTCCTGAGAAAAGCAAACTAGCAAGTGCTCAGACCAATGAACACTCAGATGACATCACACAAGGAGCAATATTATTCTTGAAACATGTGCAACAGTCTTCAATGTAAGCATGATAAGGCAACAGTTTGGCCTAAACTAAACCAGGCCAATGGCCACTTGACTTCTTTGATTTATAAACAGCCTCATTTAAGTACTTGGCTATAAATAGACAAACATCACTACTACACCGCATGTCAGCCCTGTGTCTTCCTGGCTGATGGAGGATCCTAGTGTTTACAAACTAGTGAAGTGCTGATGCTGCTATTTTAGCCAATCAGAGGATTTATCAGCTTGTCATATTTTCTATATCGATTCAGTAACATCTGTATAAGAGCCTTTCCTACAGATCATTGTTTCTCTTTTCATAGTTATTCTGTGAATATTCATAGATGAAATTGTGAACATGGTGAGAAAAGTTTGTGGCTTGAAGAGTTTTTCATCATTCACACTACCTGCTAATGACCTGGGCTTGATTCAGAACATGTGTGACCCGTGAAGATCCGGGGTAGACTAGGTCTTCTGTAACCTATGCTTGTTGTAAGAGGCGACTATGTTTGTCGTAAGAGGCGACTAACGGGATCGGGTGGTCAGGCTCGCTGAAGATCCTTGTTAAAATAGGTCTTCAGCAACCCATGCTTGTTGTAAGAGGCGACTATTTTTGTCGTAAGAGGCGACTAATGGGGGGGGGGGGGGTTCAGGCTTGCTGACCTGGTTGATGCATGTCATCGTATCCCAATTGCGTGATTGATGCTCATGATATCAATCAATGGACTTGTCCAGACTTGATTATTTACAGACCGCGGTCATATAGCTGGAATATTGCTGAGTGCGGCGTTAAACAGCAAACAAACTGTACATGTGTACAGTATCTGCTACTGTGAGACACACGTGAGTAAGCATGGTAAGGAGGTGGTTTGACAATTTAACAACCTTCATTTTAAAACTTTATACTTGTCTGTTTCCAGTGTTGTAGAGGTGAGATGTCTGCTGCTATGTGAGACAATTGAGATAGGAGCTGGTTTGACAGTATATAACAACTGTCAGTTTAAACTAAATTGTCCGTTTCCAGTGTTGTAGAGGTGAGATGTCTGCTGCTATGTGAGACAATTGAGATAGGAGCTGGTTTGACAGTATATAACAACTGTCAGTTTAAACTAAATTGTCTGTTTCCAGTGTTGTAGAGGTGAGATGTCAGCTGCAATGTGAGACAACTGAGATAGGAGCTGGTTTGACAATATATAACAACTGTCAGTTTAAACTAAATTGTCTGTGTTCCAGTGTTGTAGAGGTGAGATGTCTGCTGCCGTGTGAGACAACTGAGATAGGAGCTGGTCTGACAATTTATAACAACTGTCAGCTTAAACTAAATTGTCTGTTTCCAGTGTTGTAGAGGTGAGATGTCTGCTGCCGTGTGAGACCACTGAGATAGGAGCTGGTTTGACAATATATAACAACTGTCAGCTTAAACTAAATTGTCTGTTTCCAGTGTTGTAGAGGTGAGATGTCTGCTGCCGTGTGAGACCACTGAGATAGGAGCTGGTTTGACAATATATAACAACTGTCAGCTTAAACTAAATTGTCTGTTTCCAGTGTTGTAGAGGTGAGATGTCTGCTGCCATGTGAGACCACTGAGATAGGAGCTGGTTTGACAATATATAACAACTGTCAGTTTAAACTAAATTGTCTGTTTCCAGTGTTGTAGAGGTGAGATGTCAGCTGCAATGTGAGACAACTGAGATAGGAGCTGGTCTGACAATATATAACAACTGTCAGTTTAAACTAAATTGTCTGTTTCCAGTGTTGTAGAGGTGAGATGTCTGCTGCCGTGTGAGACCACTGAGATAGGAGCTGGTTTGACAATATATAACAACTGTCAGTTTAAACTAAATTGTCTGTGTTCCAGTGTTGTAGAGGTGAGATGTCTGCTGCCGTGTGAGACCACTGAGATAGGAGCTGGTTTGACAATATATAACAACTGTCAGTTTAAACTAAATTGTCTGTGTTCCAGTGTTGTAGAGGTGAGATGTCTGCTGCCGTGTGAGACCACTGAGATAGGAGCTGGTTTGACAATATATAACAACTGTCAGTTTAAACTAAATTGTCTGTTTCCAGTGTTGTAGAGGTGAGATGTCTGCTGCCGTGTGAGACCACTGAGATAGGAGCTGGTTTGACAATATATAACAACTGTCAGTTTAAACTAAATTGTCTGTGTTCCAGTGTTGTAGAGGTGAGATGTCTGCTGCCGTGTGAGACCACTGAGATAGGAGCTGGTTTGACAATATATAACAACTGTCAGTTTAAACTAAATTGTCTGTTTCCAGTGTTGTAGAGGTGAGATGTCTGCTGCTATGTGAGACAATTGAGATAGGAGCTGGTTTGACAATATATAACAACTGTCAGTTTAAACTAAATTGTCTGTTTCCAGTGTTGTAGAGGTGAGATGTCTGCTGCTATGTGAGACAATTGAGATAGGAGCTGGTTTGACAATATATAACAACTGTCAGTTTAAACTAAATTGTCTGTTTCCAGTGTTGTAGAGGTGAGATGTCTGCTGCCATGTGAGACAACTGAGAAAAGAGCTGGTTTGACAATTTAACAACCAGCCATGTTGTACATCTTCCATGTGGATACTGGCACTATGATGACCTTTGACATGAACCTGGCCATGGAAAAGTAAGTACCAAATATCCTGTCTCGTGTTGATTAAATATTAAACACATTTATGACTGAGGACTCGGCATTTTGTCACCACTAGCCCCTTTCCGTAACCTGCAAGAAGACTCGTCCCCCTAACGATGAATGTTATGTGCGACAATACCTCAAACCAATCAGAATGTGGGTATGACTTCAAGTACTTTGGTCAAAGAATCCCTTGGGAATAATTTTTTGATTTTACATATGTCTTGCATCTAAAAATATACCCTAGATACAGTTAAATGTGTTCAATCACACTGTATAAATACCTTAAGTCCTGATGTGTTTAAACAGCATATAGAATATATATGACATGGGGGGGAATAAACGTGAATCATAACGAGTTGACAATTCTTTTAACTATGCCTGTGCCTACGGAACACCAGTTGCAAAAATGGCCCCGAGATGGGCACGAGTCGCCAATCGGCGTGTCCTGGGATAACACGAGCTGGTCATGAATGAGAACTCAGGTGTTAGCGCTGGACACAATTTTGATAAGTTTCTCACACTACGGATACCAAGGATACATTAACTGAAAATTCCGTTCGTTCGCTCATTCCTCCTTCCAAGGACATGTTCCATGTTTTGAATATTTTTACTTAAACATTTGTGCGACCTATAACTTGAGAACTACTGCATGGATTCTTTTCAAACTTTGGGATTACTAATACTAATAGAAGAGAAGCAGTGCAAAGTTTGATTTTGATATGTGTATTTTCTAAAAATAATACACACAAGTTTTTAACTTTGAAAATGTTGAATGTCTTTTTTACTTCAACATTTGTGCGACCTATAACTTGAAAACTACTTCCTGGATTATTTTCTAATTGGGCTTACAGTTTCTTTGCCAGTAGGAAAGGTGCAGTGGAAAGTTTGATTTCGATAAGTGGATTTTATGAGAAAATATTGCTTTTTTCATGTCCAAGCTTGCCAATGATGCACCAGTCTTATATCATTCAAGAGAAACCGGCTCAAACGTTAAGGCATCAATATATATCTAGAATATAAAAATTGTTCTTCAGCTGATGTTGGGGGTCGGGGGTATTAGTGAGCCCTGCTCACTTTTTGCATTGTTGTAACATGGAATAAGTATATTTTGTCATAAGAGATATGCTGTTTTTGCAATCATTCCTTCCTTCATTTTTCCTAATGAAAGTTGGATAAGATACAAGACGTTTTAGGTTGCTAATCATGCAAATGATTGATTATCAAAAACACCATAGGCTTTCCAGGTTAAAAATGTGAAATTGAATGTTGACAATGATTATTGTGAGTAGGACCCATGTTGTCCATGACCCAGCAGTGTTGTATTCAGTGTCTGAGACTGTTGTGTTGCAGTGTGTCGGTTCTGCAGTCAGTCATCTCCAGCATGTGCCACATCTCCGAGGACAAGCAGGTGCTTCTCATCAGTGGTGGGGAGAGCCTCGACCCCACACAGAGGGTGGCCAAGTACAGCGCTGGCACGGTACAACTCGTTCACTACCTCAAGCCTTCAGAACGGTTCTTTTCATATTTGATGAGGGGGCACAGGTGGCCCAGTTGTCTAAGGCGCCGCAATTCGCTGTGCAGAGTTGCGTCCCTCGGGCACGCCAGAAACCTATGATTGTGGGTTCAAATCCCAGTTCACCCCGATTATGTTTCTATGTTTGTCAGCACTAGATCCATGTTTGTGGGTTTCACCGAAGTTGTAAACGTCTAAGATCTGCATCACTTCGGGCTTTCCTCCCACATTAAGCTGACACGCCATGATATAACTGTAATACTGTTAAAAGCAGCGTTAAACCCAACTCACTCACTCACTCACTCTTAACTATGTATGTAACGTACCCTACTTACTCTTTACTTTGTAAACTCACACACTCACTCATATTTGATGATTGTTAACCCTGTTGTCATGTATTTTTGCCAAATTGGTAATGACGTAGAAGATTGTCGTCAAATGAAAGGCTTCAGATTATGCTCATACCATTTGTCTCAAGCAAAATCACTGCCTCACTGGGGGGGGGGTGAACAACTAGTATGTAACCAATAAACAGTTGTGTAATCAATAAGCAATGGTGTACAATCAACCTGGGAAAGGGCCTACCTACATAAATGTATTCCTTGATGAGTAAAATACTGGAATACAGTATTTGACTACCGTTGGACTTGGAATATTTAAGGATTTTTAAATTATTTTTAAAAAATGGAAATAAAAACGAAACATGTGGCAAACTTTATGATTATGCGGCCAGTGCCTGAGAACAAAGACTACTTTTTTTTTAACCAAGGTAGATTCATTACATAAGTGGCTTCAAGATTCAGTTGAATTGGTGTCACTTATTAACACTGACATCATTTAATGCAAAGAAATAGGAAAGATAAGTATCATTATGTTCTTACAAGTTTGATGATTTCATTAATATTCTATTATTCTATCACTCTTCACAGGACACCAACCCAATCTTCCTGTTCAGCAAAACCACCATAGAGGCGGCCACACCCCCCTCCCCCAGCATACACTATGGATCAGGTGAGTTCAGCATTGATGAAACTGTACATGACCCACAGAACTGACTGGTACCCAGGATATAATTATCCAAGTGGGCTGACAGTAGTTAATTTGATGGATACCCTTTAAGAGAAAGTTAAAGAAAACCTACAATTGGAAGGCTGTGCCCACCAGACATGACAGATTAACTTTAGTCAAATGAACAAATTGAATGTTTTAACTTATCAGTAATATATTCCAGAACACAGAAGGTCTCCAATGCTCCATGCTAGAAATTATTGTATGGATAAAATTTATAACATTACTGTTGCTCATTCTATCAGTCACTGGTTTGTCTGGTCCAATACGAGAGTGTCATGCTGTATTACTGATCGCAATCTAAAACATTCACTCATTCAACACATTCCTTAATGCATTCACATTATTCAGAATCTCAAAATTTAACCACTCTGTAGAACAGCAGTATAACACCCTCATTGATAAAACTATACCCCTTCATTACATATTTTGGACCGCCTCCCTGGTCTAGCGGTAAAGCATCAACCGCGAGTGAGAAAGGTCAAGGGTTTGATCCCGGCCTTGTCATACCAAAAGACTTTAAAATATGGTATTTGTTGTTACCCTGCCTGGCACTTGGCTAAAACAAGGACTAGTCGGCTCGGAGTCAGTATACTGTATCTGATTTGGGTATTCATGTTAAACTGCGGCATGGTATCTCAGTGGGCGAGCACAATAAAATCAGCATAAGTCCGAACTGGTACAAGCAGCCACACACATGCGTTCATGCACGTTGCTTTATGAGTGCAATAATCTTTGACCCGATGTTAAGTCCCATTTAACCTTTTACATATGATATACCTGTATAATAAGTGATCTTGATGAAGAACAGTGAGGTCCTGTGACCCCTAAGGACAATCAAGAACACATTGTCTCATCCCAAGTTAAAGACAAGAGGGGTGCTGATGTCAGACATGTGTCTTTCAAAGGTGGGATGAACTATGTGTTAACAGGCTGTATAACAAGTACTCATATGTAACAAACATACCCCCAACAATAACAAGGTGAACTAGTAAAGAAGCACAATATATCCAGTCATATTGTGTGACCATATCTATCCATGTTGTATGACATAATAGGTTAATTTTCCTGATTTATCAGTGGGTTCAAGGTACGGGGTTATTTCAGTTCCTACTTGAGTGGATATAAATCTATTCTTTAGTCATTTGCTTCACTTCAGTGTACCCGTGAAGATCCAGGGTAGAGTAGGTCTTCAGCAACCCATGCTTGACGTAAAAGGCGACTATACTTGTCGTAAGAGGCGACCAACGGGATCGGGTGGTCAGGCTTGCTGACGTGGTTGATGCATGTCATCAAATTGCGTGGATCAATGCTCATGATGTCAATCACTGGATTGTCTGGTCCAGACTCAATTATTTACAGACCGCCATCATATAGCTGGAATATTGCTGAGTGCGACGTTAAACAACAAACAAACAAATCACTTCAGTGACTGAACCACACAGTGTGTGGATGTGTATTCAGTCAATCAGTGTCTCTATGGTTACCAACACTGATGTATATTGTGAAATGTTAGTTGGATAAATTGCTCATTGAGGTCAGATTACTGTTATGTTTTATGTTACTGACCATATCATATCAGATATATAATCCAACTTTGTACTCAACAGGAATAAATAATGATAAATAAAGGAAGTTACCGGTACTGAAGAATTGACTTCAATATTGTTTGAGTTTATGGAGGTATAAATAAAACAAGCTGGTGTGCAAACTGTGCAAAATATGCACATCGGTTTTTTACATTTATAACTCCATAAATGCAAATATATATTGAAATCAATTCTTATAAATAATTCAACAGGAATAACTTCACAGATTGCTTATTGAAAGATTAGCAAACATAAAACTGTAGACAACAGTACAGAATCAGTGATATTGAAGGGCACAATAATGCAACACAGCATTGCCCCTCAATCTGTTATCAGCCAATCAGGAAACAATAGTTTGTTAGTGGGTGTGGCCTTTTTTTTCTCGCTTTTTCTGACATAAACACAAAACATTTTTGCTTGGTTAGCCAATCAAATGCCACAGAATGTATTTATTCTGTCTTAAACAATATGTGTAGTAAGCATGGTTAATGAAGTCCTGTTTAGAAAGTAGCACTGTACACAGTGTTTGAGAGGGGGAAGGGGGGTGTGATGTAAGGCTCTTGAGGTCTTCTCTCCTGTGGTATTTTAATGTAGGGGCTGCGTAATTCTTTTACTTTTACCGTTAGGGTTATGACAAGGACCTTTGAAGATCGGGGGTAGAATAGGCCTTCAGCAACCCATGCTTGCTGTAAGAAGCAACTATGTTTGTTTGTCGTAAGAGGCGACTAATGGGATCGGGTGGTCAGGCTCGCTGACTTGGTTGATGCATGTCATCGATCCCAATTGCGTAGATTGATGCTCATGAAGTCAGTCACTGGATTGTCTGGTCCAGAGTCGATTATTTACAGACTGCTGTCATAGCTGGAATATTGCTGAGTGCGGCGTTAAACAACAAGCAAACAGCAAAACAAGGACCCCTTGACATTCAGCAACTTCATGCCTCATTTCAAACACTGTGTACAATTTACGTATGAGATATTTGTGAATACTAAACTAGCAGGATACAGTTGTCGTGGAAGTAGTTGCAGAATTAACATACTAATAGTTGTGATATCTTCAAATTGTACTCTTTCAAAGTAGTATTATGATATAATGTAAGTTGTGTGAGTTTCAAAGCAATATCAGCTTCATATTCTAGAATTATAGTGGGGAAGTTATATAGAGCATCATCACTGCAGCTGTGGTGATTGTTGAGATATGAGCCTGAATACATGCACAGATATGGAAACTCAGTAAGAAGACATAACTCAGTAAACAATCTCATTAAAATCAGATCTTAGTTCTTGCTACCATTTAAACAAAGATCCGAGAACTTCCCACTACAGGATATGTCAGAACGACCTTTCGCGACCTTGACCGACTAATGAAGTGAATAAGACGTCAACATTAACCAATCAGAAAACAGCTTTCTCGAGCTAAGCGATACCAGTTTCAAACTGGCAACTTCCATTCTAGAAAAAAGCTTTAAAGAATTTTGTCACAATGTTTTTCATTCAAAATTTGAAAACTGAACGAAAGTACATACTGGAATGTCTCATAGATGGTCTAGATTGTATGGCTGTACTCCTCACGGGGTGTACAAAATCGCTCCCATTCAAATGTTTATACCATTGAAGAGAAAGATATACCATGATTTTATCAGAATCAGTCATACAGCTCGTATCTGTTGTTTGGAATACCCTCTGTGGACCTTTTCGAGATTGCATGATCAGAAAACACATTCCGACTCTCACCTTGCCAGTCTGGTAAGTGATGCTCTGATTGGTCGGATTGAAGGTCATTCTGACGTGACCCGTAATGGGATGTACACAGATGTTTGTTTAGTGTTAGCAAGAACTAAGAACTAATTTTAATAAGGTTGCACAGTAAATGTCATTATAATGGATATTTATAATATTGGGTATTTTTTATCTCAATTGCCGGTAGGTCACTGGAGAAAATGTAGGTACAACCAATTGCTCTTTCTGGCTTATTTTATGAGATAGTTACACCCAATATCATAATCTGTGCATATAATAATACGTCTATTATAACAGTAAATCATCATGGTTAGTAATCTGGTATCGCAAACTTCAGTGTTTTATTGAAAAAGTTGGTTATGTCATATGTTTGTTCACCTAAATGATACAATGTGTATTTTGACTGAGTATTATATATAACAAGCAATTTTCCCAGAAACCAGGACCCAAGAATGAGCTGTATGCATTATACTCAAGTGTGCGTTATACACAAGAAAATACTCTGTTAAAATTGTTTTTGCCTTATAAAAAGATGTCTGTCCACATGCACCAAGTTGTCAACAATTCTTTTCATTTTTTCTAACAATATCTTTTTGCTGGGAATGATGGGTCAGTCATTGGTAATAATAACACTGTTTTAGTACTAGTGCAACCTTAATTAAAGTAACGTCAGCGACAAGGTAACTACATAGAAGACAGTAACCTAACTGTGTATCTATCACCTGTAGGTACTCGCTCTGAGAGACCAGGTAAGTGTGCTATTGTTCTTGTCATGGTGACTCACCGGTGATAAGCTATCCACATCCTAATCAGAGTGTTTCAAAACTGCCCTGAAAACCAAGACCCAAAACATTCGAGTCGAAGCTGTGTAAACAATATACAGTTATAGTGATTTCTTTTTGTCATATTTCTTTTTTCTCTATTTTTTTACATCTGTAAGAATTTGTTTCTTTTGTCTGTTTTCCAAATCCCTGTACGACTAATGTCATATCTATACATGTATATGTTATTGTATTTTTGTAGCTTAAGTTGAAAAGGAAACCCCATTATTAGTCTGAAAATTAATTTGCGGAACCAAAGGAGATCAGGAATTGTTGTTGTAAACATGTATAGATAGCTCAAAGTAATTTGAAGTCTTCCTTTATATGTGTCTTGATTTGGAACACTTTGGTTAATGGGATAAATATGGTAGGAACTGATCACTGTTTTACCATATTTATCTAAAGCGTATGTAATTCTAAACCATTAGAATTCAGACTCTTTGTCCTTGACCTTGTATAGGTATCGTAAACTCATATTTTCACTTGTCTTAATACTGAGTGTCAAATTCAGTATTTGCAAGAGTTTTTAAAAAATATTTTATCTTCATTTTCTTTAATGCTTGGGCATTGCAGAGGCTCTTACTCATGGCTCCCACGAAGAAATTGGATAAATATTTCTATCACAGAATTTCCAGAAAATTAAAAATATAAGCATATGCCAATAAGTTGAGATGTGACATTGATGAATAAGTTCTACAATGAACAACAGGAATGTAAAATTTGTAGAAAATAGCCAAAACATTCCTCTAAGTTTGGGAAAATCACAAGTTTTCTGAAAATACATGTGAAGTGGGAACCATGTCACTGCTTGCTGTTTACATAGGTTTCATTCTACGTTCATCAGACTAATCCAACATGGTCAACCTTCATGATTTAGGTAATACAAATTGAGGTGGTGAGGCCTCCAACAGGGGAATATTTCATCATGACAATGATGAGTGAGGGTACGCCTTTAGATGAAAGCAGAATGAGATTATGAAACTACTTTCTATCAGCTGACTTTCTCAAGGTCCAAGCACGGACTTGTATAACGGTTATATAGGTCCGTGGTCCAAGTTACATTGTAGCAGTCTGTATCTTTAGCCACAAGTATGAAATATGTGCCTACAAAATCTATTTCAGCCATTATTCAGATAAAAGCCTTCAAAAGGGCAAGTTTAGCTAGTTTAGGCACAGACTGATGTATAAACTGTATGAGACACAGCACAAGTATATTTTGCAGGGAAATACGATACAGGCAGTGCAAGATTATATCCCACCCTTTCTGCAGATCCATGAAAGTTTATATAGTAGTATGTTGACCAGTATGTTGAACATAGTTTTGGAGAATGTTTTCCAGAACTATTGTTGATTTTTGAGGACCGCTTCAACAGAAAATGTCCCCAGCATCCCATGCTTGTAGTGAGAGCTGATGTAGAGGGGTATGGAGTGGTCCCAACATGCTCATTGTGTGAATGGCTGTGTGTCAGTGTACTCTCAAGGCCAGGGTGCTTGCTCCTGCCATCAGTCACTAGTCTGCTGGGCCCAGGCTCCATTATTTGCAGACAGTGGTGATGTAGCTGGAAGATTGACTGCAGTGTGAAATCATTGACTCACACAGTTGATACTCTCTGATAGTGAAACATGGAGTGCTATGACATGGACCTCCTGTTTGATTTAGATGTCTACTAACTCAAAGGACCACCTCCATGGTCTAGTGGTAGAGCGTGCGCCCGGAGAGCGGAAGGACCGGGGTTCGATCCCTGGCAGCATCATACCAAAAGACGTTAAAAGATGGTACTTGTTGTTACCCTGTCTGGCGCTCGGCACTAAGGGGATAAATCAAGGACTGGTCGACTCGGAGACAGTATACTGTGTCTGAGTGGGGTATTCATGTTAAACTGCGGCATGGCATCTCAGTGAGCTAGCACTATAAATCGGCATCAGTCCGGACTAGTACAAGCAGCCACACACACACACGTGCATGCACGTCGCTATATAAGTGCAATAATCTTGGAAGCGACGTTAAACCCAATTTCACCTCACCTCACATCTACTAACTCAAAGAACATCAACCAAGTTCAGACAAATTGCAATGTGACAGTTAAGAATAACTTCCTACTGATAAGTGTGCTGTTAGCTTGTTTCGTTATTGTCTTGCAATATCAAAGTTTGCTAACCCTTTTTTAATAGAAATTCCTGTAGTTAAAAACCTTTGCAGTGTTGCTTGCTGATACTTTCTTCTGCCTCTGTCATGGATGACATCCTAACTTGAAATATGCCATATCTTGCAGAAATATTGTGCATGGATTATAACTTGAGATGAACATATTCAAAGCAAACTCAACCATTTTTCATGTTAGCATGTCGTATCTAATCTTTCAAAACTGTGTCTAGTTTTTGCTAGTTTAGAATATACCATGGCAAAATATCAGCACTCAACAATGATATCATACAATAGTCTTGAACACCAAGAGCTGCACTTAACTTCAACCCCATCCTAAACATGCTGAAAATATGGCTACAAAGATTCCAATACATAGACATATACAAGGAGTCATGCCTCCTCATCTTGAACTTTGGTTTTTGGTAATAGACATAATTGATCCAGTCTCATACCAAATATCCACCCTTAGCCGACCCAGCCAGGCCCACGTCACCCTCCGATTGAATTGCCTTGAGTCGGTGGCTGCTGTTTGTATCTATTTCTGCATCTTGTGTGTTATCTTTCTGAGATTTGGATGTCATGTAACGATCATAAGATACCATGACTAGGCTAGAAGCAGGCATCGTAAGCTATACTTGGCATGTTACATATGGTGTTATGACTTCATTTTAAAACAGAATAAAATGTTATGATGTCAGTCCGTGAGGTTGCCAGGTACAGTGTATGCAGGAAGATGTGGACTTGGGATTGGAAAGAGAAAATACCTATCTGTAAAGTTTGACACAGTATTACGGGATTACAGTATTATGATAATAAGGCTATGAAACTAGGTTTGGTTCTCAGATATCTGTTCTTCAATCAAACTACCCCTAATTCTCTGTGGTGTGGATGTGTGAAGCCCATTTCTGGTGTCCCCCGCCGTGATATTGCTGGAATATTGCTAAAAGCGGCGTAAAACCATACTCACTCACTCACTCACTCACTCACTCACTCTGTGGTGTGGTGGAATAGCTCATCACGCTAAAGGCCCCACGTTGGTACAATGTATGAAGCCTATTTCTAGTGTCCCTGCCATGATATTGCTGGAATAATCTCTAATGGGGCCACTAAGAATCTGATTCAGTAAATGAAACTACAGGTGTGTGCCCTATTTTCAGTAGGTCTGCAGCCTCCTCTCCGTCCCATCCCCTCCCCTCCCTCCAGCACCTGTCCTGATGTTGTAGCCCTAATGTAGTTAAACACTCCAGTGGGAAAAGCTGAGTGTGATAGAGACGTAGGTCTGCAGCCTCCCCTCCCTCCAGCACCTGTCCTGATGTTGTAGCCCTAATGTAGTTAAACACTCCAGTGGGAAAAGCTGAGTGTGTGATAGAGAGATAGGTCTGCAGCCTTCCTTCTCTCCAGCACCTGTCCTGATGTTGTAGCCCTAATGTAGTTAAACACTCCAGTGGGAAAAGCTGAGTGTGATAGAGACGTAGGTCTGCAAACTCCCCTCCCTCCAGCACCTGTCCTGATGTTGTAGCCCTAATGTAGTTAAACACTCCAGTGGGAAAAGCTGAGTGTGATAGAGACGTAGGTCTGCAGCCTCCCCTCCCTCCAGCACCTGTCCTGATGTTGTAGCCCTAATGTAGTTAAACACTCCAGTGGGAAAAGCTGAGTGTGATAGAGACGTAGGTCTGCAAACTCCCCTCCCTCCAGCACCTGTCCTGATGTTGTAGCCCTAATGTAGTTAAACACTCCAGTGGGAAAAGCTGAGTGTGTGATAGAGACGTAGGTCTGCAAACTCCCCTCCCTCGAGCACCTGTCCTGATGTTGTAGCCCTAATGTAGTTAAACACTCCAGTGGTAAAAGTTAAGTGTGATAGAGACGTAGGTCTGCAGCCTCCCTCCAGCACCTGTCCTGATGTTGTAGCCCTAATGTAGTTAAACACTCCAGTGGGAAAAGCTGAGTGTGATAGAGACGTAGGTCTGAAGCCTCCCCTCCCTCCAGCACCTGTCCTGATGTTGTAGCCCTAATGTAGCTAAACACTCCAGTGGGAAAAGCTGAGTGTGATAGAGACGTAGGTCTGCAGCCTCCCCTCCCTCCAGCACCTGTACTAATGTTGTAGCCCTAATGTAGTTAAACACTCCAGTGGGAAAAGCTGAGTGTGATAGAGACGTAGGTCTGCAGCATCCTTTCTCTCCAGCACCTGTCCTGATGTTGTAGCCCTAATGTAGTTAAACACTCCAGTGGGAAAAGCTAAGTGTGATAGAGACGTAGGTCTGCAGCCTCCCCTCTCTCCAGCACCTGTCCTGATGTTGTAGCCCTAATGTAGTTAAACACTCCAGTGGGAAAAGCTAAGTGTGATAGAGACGTAGGTCTGCAGCCTCCCCTCTCTCCAGCACCTGTCCTGATGTTGTAGCCCTAATGTAGTTAAACACTCCAGTGGGAAAAGCTGAGTGTGATAGAGACGTAGGTCTGCAGCCTCCCCTCTCTCCAGCACCTGTCCTGATGTTGTAGCTGTGTGGACTCCACCTGCCCCTGCTGCTATCAGACTAATCCTGGTGTTTATGTTGCAGATATTGACCTTCAGGGTCAAGTTGAAGGCTCTCTCATCATGCCTCCAGCCTATGAAACAGTTGTGTCTCGGACCCAACTTTCTGTGGTGTGTTTCTCTTCTTGTGTTGATATGAAACCAGTATTGACAACATTTAATGATGCAGGACATTAAGTTACAAATTTACATTTATGTATATATTTTGACAAATGTTATTATTGTGAATTTGTAGTGCAAGTGATATGAAACTATAGGTGTTATTTCAGGAATGCTTGCATAATGTTTGAAATATTATTCTTTTGAACAAGCTTCAGGATGAATTATAGTGATTATTTGTAAATATATCAGGGAAGCTGACCATGTACACAGGTTCTTTTAATACTCATATCCCTTGAACTGTGACAAAAAGTCTTCTGAAAATTGTTATACTCAAATATTTGAGGAAACCTATATGATTAATCTAACAGCTATTGAAGCAATTGTTAGTTTTTTTCAAAATGCTTATTTGTGTTAATGAAGTACTGTAATGGTACCTTGTACTTATGTATTCACTGTTGATGGAACTGATTGTCTTGCAGCAATTTCGGGATGTTGATGAGGAGGAGCTGAAGGCGTGTGAGCGCCTCGTCCACGATCAGCATCTACAGCAGCAGGGATGGGCTGCCGTGGTTGCAAACCTCGAGGACATCACCAGGTACACAGTTGTCTCAGTTGTCTCCCCTGTATTTTATTTTCCTACTTGTTATTTCAGACATTAAACATTCAAATTCAAATTAAAAAAGATTCATGTAAATCATGTTGACCCTCCTTGCCTTGTTTCACTTGAGAATATAAAAACAAGGATTATCCTGAAATGATTCTCTTGAGCTATGGTTGGACAGTTATTGTGTTGGAACAAAATAGGTTCATAGGTCGGATTGTGTGTCAATTGTTGAGACAATGTTTGCTATTGATTCATATCTGAAATAGCCATCCACATTTAGTGGATAAAACAAGCACTGGTCGGTCTGAGTCAGTATAATGCGTATCAGTGGTGTATGCATGTTAAGCTGGGATATGGTATCTGAGTGAACAAGCACAATACAACTATCATTAGTCCATATCAGCATACAGCCACACACACGCAAACACAGACACAATGCGGTTATAAAACTGCTGTAACAAGACGTTTGAACCCATTTCAACCCATATCATCATATTGAAACATATCTTATGACTTAAACTTTCTCAATGATGTGATGAATGTCAGTGGAATATGATTCTATGTATGTATCTGAAAGGAGCAATTGCATACAAAATATGATCATGTTGATAATTATGATTATCACTTAATTTTGTATTTTGCTTTCCTTGGTAACATGGGGCGGTCGGGTAGCCTAGTGGTTAAAGCGTTCGCTCGTCACGCCGAAGACCCGGGTTCGATTCCCGACATGGGTACAATGTGTGGAGCCCATTTCTGGTGTCCCCCGCTGTGATATTGCTGGAATATTGCTAAAAGCGGCGTAAAACCATACTCACTCACTCCTTGGTAACATGCACCTCTATTTGCCTGCAGTGCCCTGAGACAGAGATGGGAGTTGTTTCAGGAGGCTTATGACAACTACCTCACAGACCGCCAGGGGTATCTCAACACACTCGCCAGGTCGGTATTGTTATCAGGGTTTATGACCATTGCAGAATTTATACTGTGTGATAGACATAGCATGCTACCCAAAGAGATGGAAAGTAGTAGTTTTGTTAGTCATAACCAGGGCTTGAAGTTTACCAAGGTCCGCTTGTCCATTAATAGTAACTCCCAGGAAGGACTAGTGACATTGGACTATTAGCATTTCCTTGTGGACTGCCACAGATGGCAACCCTGTTGCAGATAATTTTGCAGGCTAGTGAAAATAATAATTAAGCTCTCACTCTGAATAATATGGGCATTAGACCTTCAACTAGATTGTAAGAAGACAATAATCCTGAATTGAAACATTTGAGGTTTCAAGCTTGGGCATTAGAGTACATGAGCCATGTGGGAGTGTATAGAGCCATGAGGGTGTGTATAGAGCCATGAGGGTGTGTATAGAGCCATGAGGGTGTGTATAGAGCCATGAGGGGGGCATAGAGCCATGAGGGGGGCATAGAGCCATGAGGGGTGTATAGAGCCATGAGGGGTGTATAGAGCCATGAGGGGTGTATAGAGCCATGAGGGGTGTATAGAGCCATGAGGGTGTGTATAGATCTATGAGGGTGTGTATAGAGCCATGAGGGGGGCATAGAGCCATGAAGGTGTATAAAGCTGTGAGGGGTGTATAGAGCCATGAGGGGTGTATAGAGCCCTCAGGGGTGTATAGAGCCATGAGGGGTGTATAGAGCCATGAGGGGTGTATAGAGCCATGAGGGGTGTATAGAGCATGAGAGGTGTATAGAGCCATGAGGGGTGTATAGAGCCATGAGGGGTTTATAGAGCCATGAGGGGTGTATAGAGCCACGAGGGGTGTATAGAGCCATGAGGGGTGTACAGAGCCATGAGGGGGGTATAGAGCCATGAGGGGGTGTATAGAGCCATGAGGGGTGTATAGAGCCAGGAGTTGTGTATAGAGCCATGAGGGGTGTATAGAGCCAAGAGGGGTGTATAGAGCCAGGAGTTGTGTATAGAGCCGTGATGGGTGTATAGAGCCATGAGGGGTGTATAGAGCAACGAGGTGTGGATAGAGCCATGAGGGGGTGTATTAAGACGTGAGGGGTGTATTGAGCCCTGAGGGGTGTATAGAGCCATGAGGGGTGTATAGAGCAACGAGGTGTGGATAGAGCCATGAGGGGTGAGGGGTGTATAGAGCCATGAGGGGGTGTATTGAGCCGTGAGGGGTGTATAGAACCATGAGGGGGTGTATTGAGCCGTGAGGGGTGTATAGAGCCATGATGGGGTGTATTGAGCCATGAGGGGTGTATAGAGCCGTGAGGGGTGTATAGAGCCGTGAGGGGTGTATAGAGCCATGGGGGGTGTATAGAGCCATGAGGGGGGTATAGAGTCGTGAGGGGTGTATAGAGTCGTGAGGGGTGTATAGAGCCATGAGGGGGTGTATTAAGACGTGAGGGGTGTATTGAGCCCGGAGGGGTGTATAGAGCCATGAGGGGTGTATAGAGCAACGAGGTGTGGATAGAGCCATGAGGGGTAGGGGTGTTTAGAGCATCAAGGCTTGTATAACTGATCTGTTGTATATTGCTGCAGTATTGGCCAGTCCCTGGAGCTCCTTACCAAGATCCCACTGTTGACCTGTCTGAGTACACCCCTGGGGCTGGCCATGTCCTACCCTCACGACCCCAGCAACCCAATCGCAGCTGACAACATGGAGCTGGCACAGTGTAAAACTCTCTTTGAGTGGATCAGCTCCCAGGTGAGTTACTCGTACAAACACTAAAAAGTTGTTTCAACTCACAACAATTGTATATGCCATGAGCGACACTGTTGGCCTTCCTCCCATACTTAGAAGCCATGAACAAGTGTTCAAAGTTGTGGACAATCTAAACACACGGTTAACATTGACATGATATAAACATTATTTTGTGACAAATAACCATGTTAAACGGACAGAAATATTCAACATGAGGCATCATTGTCATGATAGTGGGGACTCACTGGTATGGCAACCTGACTGAAACATGGTTACTGTGCACTCAGTCATATTTTGACCTATAGGGTTAGGAATAACCGAGTTCACAAAGATCATGGGTGTGTTGCAAAGCGTGAGTCGCTTGCAATCGATGTACAGCGACTCGCCTTACAACAGTGCGCTAACTTTCAACCACACTGCAAAACAATCGCTGGCTGAGTTTGCTTCGTTCTCAAACTAAAATGGTGGCTGACATTGACAGCGGAACAAAATATTCTTGACTGGATCAACGAGAATGAGCAAAGGTAGCTAACACCACATCATCCTCAGTCTGCTCCCCATCTTCTAGTCTAGAGCCTCTTCTATTACATTCTTCTACGTCAAGGCAACTAAGCTGTAGCTGTGCCGCCATTTCAGAAGAGTGCGCAAATACTTTGAACTGTTGCGACCCCGGGATGAGCGATAAAGTTGCTTTCTCTAAGCGATTTGTGGCTTGCAACGTGCCCCATATGTGCACTGGAGGGTAGTAAATTTGGACTCGTCCCAGCTCTAGTATGACCCACATGCTTGTATTATAATGTCTATGTGTGTGACTGTGTTACAAGGTGTGTATATGTTACAGGACCCCAAGCCCTAGAATGACCCACATACTTGTATAATAATGTCTATGTGTGTGACTGTGTTACAAGGTATGTATATGTTACAGGACCCCCAGCCCTAGTATGACCCACATTCTTGTATAATAATGTCTATGTGTGTGACTGTGTTACAAGGTGTGTATATGTTACCATGGTTACAGGACCCCCAGCCCTAGTATGACCCACATACTTGTATAATAATGTCTATGTGTGTGACTGTGTTACAAGCTGTGTATATGTTACCATGGTTACAGGACCCCCAGCCCTAGTATGACCCACATACTTGTATAATAATGTCTATGTGTGTGACTGTGTTACAAGCTGTGTATATGTTACAGGACCCCCAGCCCTAGTATGACCCACATACTTTTATAATAATGTCTATGTGTGTGACTGTGTTACAAGGTGTGTATATGTTACAGGACCCCCAGCACAGTCTACATGACATGGTGGAGCAGTGCCTCAAGGCCGCAGAACAGGTCAGTCACTCACCATGTCTGTAGGCCTTTAGCAAGCTGGCTTCTTCAACACACATATTCATGTTTATTGTATGATGAGTTTGAGTATTACTCGTTGGGATAAACCCAATGGAGAAGAACGGTATCCCGTTATTTATGGATAAATACCGTATTCGATGTAATAAGCGGCTCGCTCTAATAAGCGCCCACAGCGATATTTGCTAATATATTGGCTAGTGAACAATCCCTATTAGCACCCCTCCTGAATGATCAATGTACACAAGACTTAATTATTTGCGTATAATACGCACTCGTGTGTTATATGCACCCTGAATTATGGGCAATAAAATTCTGGAAAAATATATCGGTCGTATATAAACATTTCAGGCTGTCAGCATTAACCACGAAATATCCTTTAACTCTGTTTTTTTCACCAAAATAATATTCTAATAAGAGCCCCTATTTCTTATTTTGAGAGCGCCCTGGGCGCTTATTACATTGAATACGGTATGCAAATATGAAAAGATACTACATTCAGTGTTGACAAACACGGCGTCACCTCTGTCTTTTGGCAATCAAGTCAAAATTGACGATTGGGGACCTGGACAATGTTATTATTATCAAAATGATAGTCTAAAAGTTACTAAAAACGTCAATCAGTTTCTATACCCGTGCTTTTAAGTGTAGGTAGTTCTGTTGGAACTACATTGATCATTGTCAGTGACTATCCGACTGACTCATCACTGACATTGTGACATATTAATATATTTATGCATGCAATCTTTAGATAATGTTTGTGATGGAAATAGAAAGGTTATTATTCTTGCGTGTTTTGACATGTTTGGGGTGGTAAATATATGGCATTAGAGAATACTAAATACAATGTTTTACAATGTTTATTCCTGGTATAGGATATTTACCTTCATAAGACACACTCGCATGATAATCTCTGTTTATCATATAATGGGTAGGTTTCAAACAAACAAAGTCCTATGTGGACAGAGGTAAATATCAAAGGTCAAGTAGGGACTACTTTCAGTATTTATCAACAAACATGGCATCACCCTTGTCATTTGGCGATTGAGTCAGAATTAACCAATGGGAATCTGGAGAAACTACTGGGATAATTGCTATCATTATCAAAAGGAAAGTCTAATATTCTGAAAATCAGTGTCTAACTGTGACGAGCTAAGGCATTTTACAAACAATTTACATTTTACTGACAAATCAGGACACACAAAAGTTTCATCTAGATGCCCATGTAGTGAATGTGTTTGATGTTTGTCCAGTTTGACGAGAAGATCCTCGACACCCTGCACTCCGAGGTGCAGCAGACAATGGAGGCGGTAGACAACTGCAGCATGAAGGAGGTGAAGGGGCTCGAGGACCGACTGTATGGACTCGACCAGTTCATGTCCGGGGCCAGGAAGATAGTGCAGGAACAGGCAGACATGGCCAAGGTAACAGGATGCCTGTATGTGCTGGAGTCAGAGCTTTACATTGATGTGAACACTCCAGGCACAAGTGTGTGCGGGATATAATGGGTCAGATGTTAGACCATATGTTTGGAGTCATTTTGGTTTTGTCAATTTGTGATTGTAGCATCTGGATCTATGGGTTTGGTGGGGTAAAGCGGTTAAAGCACTCACTCACTCACTCACTCACTCACTCACTCACTCACTCACTCACTCACTCACTCACTCACTCACTCACTCACTCACTCACTCACTCACTCACTCACTCACTCACTCACTCACTCACTCACTCACTCACTCACTCACTCACTCACTCACTCACTCACTCACTCACTCACTCACTCACTCACTCACTCACTCACTCACTCACTCACTCACTCACTCACTCACTCACTCACTCACTCACTCACTCACTCACTCACTCACTCACTCACTCACTCACTCACTCACTCACTCACTCACTCACTCACTCACTCACTCACTCACTCACTCACTCACTCACTCACTCACTCACTCACTCACTCACTCACTCACTCACTCACTCACTCACTCACTCACTCACTCACTCACTCACTCACTCACTCACTCTGGATCTATTTCTCTGCTTAATAAAGTGGTCAACATCAATAGGATGTTACCATGAGCTCTCCTATCACATTAAGCTGACATGCCTTTGATGTGCACTTCTCCAAATGGCAGTACACCAAGGGGATTCGTGGTTAGAATAGGTCCCTAGCAACCTCTGCTGGTCAACCCAATGGATCACAAATTCAGGCTAGGTGACAAAGTGATTACGTGTCCTTTTACCCCAACGGTGTGAATCGTTGCTCACAATATCAATCACAGATCTGTCTGGTCCAGATTCCATTATTAACGGGCTTCTGTCACATAGCTGGAATATTGCTGAGTGCAGCGGACAAACAAAGGGGCATTAGTCCCAACTCCCTCACACTACAGCTTGTCAGTGATGTGTTTTTTGCAGGGATTTGTCCAGAACCAGAACCGAGTGAGCAACCTGCGGGACAACTCCATCCTGCCGGACCTGTGTGCCAGTCACAAGAAGCAGCTGGTGGTGATGCTCAACAACCACAAGAAACTCCGCGACATCAAGAAGAAGTGTCGCATGGCCAAGGAGGAGCTCTCAATCAACCTCCACACCAGACTCAGGTACACAGGGAGGCGGTGGACAGTGGGAGGTTATGGGAACTTCTTTTCAATCTCGTGACATTTTCGGCTGTTGCTTTTGCTGTCATCCTGTGGGATAACTTTGGAGTCTACTAACCTGAACTTGTCCTTTGGCATTGTTGGTTGGTTATGAATTAATGTTATCATAATGATTATTATGAGCAAGGTTTACAAGACTTGAATATATTCTCCTTTGATTCAGTGGTTGAAACTTGAGGGTAGTTGTCGATACTGTGATGATCTGTTCGTTTCCATGTAATTTCAATGTAATTCTTTTTTGCAGAAGACAAACACGTTTTTATTGTAAATGTAGGGACTGTGTATGCGCTGGTGAAGTACTCCATTCCTATTCACTTTATAGATGAGGTATATAAATTAGCATCGAATTTGAAGGGGGTCGCCTCATACATGGGGTTGCTTTGTAGATGGCAATATACAATGCTTGTTAGATAGACTTGTGGTTGTTGAAGCAGAAGTAACTGAAAAAGCATACTAACAAGCCTTTTGTGTGTCAAGGTGGGTGATGTTTGTGGAGAAGAAGATTTGTGATGTTGATGGGAAGCTGATGATATACCGTGAGAATCTGAAAAGGCTCCAGAAACGTCTGGACATTCTACACCAGATTCACGATGCTCCCCGAGTCTATGCGGAGCTAGTTGTCGAGGTCGTCAGAAGGAGGAAGTTCTCCACACAATTCCTGGAGGTCAGTTTGGCATAAAATAACTTGGGAGAAGGCTCTTTTTGAAAAGTTGACCATAGAAATATACCAGGCTTGGGTTTCACTTTGACTAGACCAATCTCTACTGTGGCTTGTCATCAGGTCACTCCTGTTTTTTTTTAACTCCAGTGGGGAGGTGGGGTAGCCTAGCAGTTAAAGCGTAAGTTTGTCATGCCGAAGAGCCAGACTCGATTCCTCTCATGGGTTGTGATATTGCTGGAATATTCCTAAAAGCGGAGTAAGACCATATACACTCATTCACTCTAACTTCCAGTTCTTCCATGGGGTTTTCACGGTAAAGTGTTCTCTCACACCTTACTGAAGTGTGCAAAGTGTGGATCTCTTGGGTCACACTTTCTTAATCTAATGTTTCACGGATTTATTCCAGCTTTTCCACACAAGACTGGTTGAAACAAAAATAAATAACTATGTCAAACTATATTTATTGATATGATAGTCATTCTGCCATGTAGTTAAAACTGCAACTGGCTTCTTGATCACTGATAGAGATGTAGACATGGAATTGACATATAACATTTCATTTTTTATATGAGGGTCTATATTACTAGCGGGAGACATAAAAAATATATATATATTTATGTTTCAATTATTTTTTTTCCAGATGCTTTTTCAGTAGGGGCAGTGGGTCCGTGAAATGAACGATAAAAAATGTGTGTCCTTAGCTGTGACCTGAATGATTTAGTTTTCAATCAAATCCAAAGATGTTCATCAATACTCTGAATAATAATTACTGCTGTGATATGGTTAATGGTATTGTTGCAGAAAACAGTCACTTGCTTCCAAATCAGCTTAGTTTATGTGATGTTTGTGTCTGTCCTCAGTGGGCAGGCAACCTGGCTCTGGAATCTAGTCAGCTTCAGACAGATGAAGTCAACAGGAGACAGGCATTCCTCACAGAGCTGGGTAAGCACCACAGTCATCTCAAACGTATCTCATATCTGTGTGTGAACATTCTGTTCTGTGTGTCTATCTTCATCTGTTTCATTTAGAGATGATGGTGTAGAATTTAGGATTCAAACAATGCCCTTATATCCTACAATTACCATGGCATGTTCTTGATATCTGCCTCAGATATGTCTTCAGTATTGTCAATAACTGTGTAATATGCTACTCATGTTATGTGATACTTTTGTTTCCAATTAGGTCAGATCAATTTATTTTCTTGTATAAGAGATCTTTTGCCCAAAATTGTCTTAAGTGGAGGAGGGAAAAAAACACAGCCCAGAGCAATAAATATTGATGCATATATGTGCATGCAACAGTAATCAGCAGGAAGTGATTTGATTGGTAGATGACAAGTTATAACTGCAGAAGAGTTGCTTCCCCTCGATAAAGAAATTGATCCATATCATAGTGCTGTTGGTTAAATATTAAAAATCCCCAAAGGATGTTTTTTCATTTATTCTTTTTCAAAATCAGAGAAATATCAGTTGAGTAGATTCGTATACAAGAAAAAACATTGGTCTGGCACTAGTAGGTTATTGCATTGGCATGAAATACGAAGGATGTCAATGGAGATGTTATACAAGATAAAGGCAACTCCTAGCCTCCAGCACAGGAACTGGTGTAATGTAGAGTTGACTAAGGAACATATGTTATATTTGGGATTACCATGATTACACTTTCTTAGTGAAGTTTAGTAGTTTTTTGGGTGAAGTCCCATCCTAAATTTGAACCCACACTCTCAGAGTTGGCAGTGTTGTGTGCAACAATCTCCTGATCCTAATGAAGTCTCAGACAATGAATTTTCTGTTGCAGGCAAGCACTTCCTACAGTCCTTGTTCCAAGGGTTTGAGGACATTCCACCTGTGTTTGCTGTGAGTAGCCAATCTGATGAGTGAGTGAGTGAGTGAGTGAGTGAGTGAGTTGGGTTTAACGCCGCTTTTTACAGTATTCCAGTTTTATCGCGCCATGTTAGCTTAATGTGGGAGGAAAGCCCGAAGTGATGCAGGTCTCAGACGATTACCACTTTGGTGAAACCCACGAGCATGGGTATGGTGCTGACAAACCTAGAAACATAATTTGGGCGAACCGGGATTCGAACCCACAATCATAGGTTTCTGGCGTGCCCAAGGGATGCAACTCTGCACAGCGAATCGTGGCGCCTCAGACGACCAGGCCACCTGTGCCCCCTGCGAATCTGATGACCAACCTGTCAGTTAGATGCTGTTATGTGTAACATATATGTTCTGTTGTTTTTGTTTACCCCTGATTGTGTTATTGTATGAAACTCAACTGTGTGAGATCAGGCTTCAAATTAATAGACCATGCTATATTGAAGGGAGCTATAGCAAGGGAACACTGTATTGGGACTGCCATACTTCAGCTGATTGAAGGTGACAATGCAGTTTTTCATGCAGATTGGACATCTTGCTTTACTTGTTCATTCCTCTGTTTGGAAAAGTCTACTTGTGATCAAGCTTGTGAGAATGAATTGTGTTACCTATTCTAATGTCACTGTTTTGTTCTATTTGCCCATATCAGACCGAGGCCCCTGAAGAGTTTGACCAGAGGCTTCCTCCCATCACAGACGATGACATAAAGATGCTGCGAGACTCAGTTCCTGAACTAGCAGACAGACTTAGGTAAGCAATATCAGCATTACAAATTGGCACTAGTCCTGTGGTCCTTGCCAACCTGCCCAATAGTTAAGGTATCAGGCTAGAAGAAATTTGCCATTCTTAAGCATGTTAAGGGTTTTGCTATATGTTATCATTATAAGGACTAGTGGACTAAAACTGTTTGTTTGTACTGCTGAATATTACAGTCATGCTTTAGACCTTCTAATAATTGAGGGGGCGGTCGGGTAGCCTAGTGGTTAAAGCGTTCGCTCGTCACGGCGGTTCCATTCCCGACATGGGTACAATGTGTGAAGCCCATTTCTGGTGCCCCCCGCTGTGATATGGCTGGAATATTGCTAAAAGCGGTGTAAAACCATACTCACTCACTCACTCACTCTAATAACTGAGTCTAGACAATGAAGTAGTTGACAGCATTAGCAACAATCCAGATGTACCCTCAGTATTACTCATGGAAGTGAAGTGAGCCCAACTCCATGCTTGAACGATTGAAGCAGTGTGTTGAGTAGAGGCAGCAAGGCTGTGTCACATGTTGCATGAGAATTATAGATCTTTGCGCTCACTGTTTTTCATCCCTTGAACCAGGCTGCGGATTTATTGTTTGGTTATCAACTACACTGCAGATTGGGTGTATGTATTAATGGATGATGGAGGCACATAGTGTATGTAAACCCCATGGCGTACTGTCGAATGGTTGCAACTAGGGCTGGGACGGGTAACTCGGGTACGTGGGTTGGGTGGGTACTGAGTAGGACCCGTAAACCCACAGGACTACCCGGACCCGTGGTTAGTCATGTGATATATATTGTTTAATGACAAAAATTATGCATCCATTCCTTCTGACTTTTCATATGGTTGAATAAAGATACAACTTAAGTCAACTTCAGTGTTTGCATGACCAGATTGTTTAATACATGTGTCTAAGTACGTTTTGCCAGGGCTATGGTAAAAAAAATCCCAATTGGACATTTTGTACCTATCTCTTGAGGCCTACAGTGGGTACCCGGGTAGGGTTGGGTAATAGGGGGGTGGGTACCCGGGTAGTTAATTTTGACTCGTCCCAGCCCTAGTTGCAAGCACATGTCCATTTGTTGCTTGTGAAAAGCATAGAGCATTATTCAGCCCAAGGGGAATTGAAATCGTGAAGATAATTCATGGTACAACACGTTTCTTTGATAATAATTAATGTCCAACAGTTGAGATGTTTTGTGTTTCAGCATCCCGTCCTCAGTGGCCGTGGGCGAGAGAATGACCCTGCACACCATGATGTCGTCGGTCAGTGACTCCACCGTGCAATGTGATGCCATGGTGTGTCGCAGCCTCCCCGGCACCATCGGGTCGTCGACAGCAACGTCTGACATCACTGTCATACAGAGTCAGGGAGACCACCAGTTTGTGCATATAGAGAACAGTAACCTGAGTCTCAAGGACCAGGTTGCAGCATGTGGGCCTCATGCAGACATAAAGATTAAACCCCAGATTGTGATTGCTGACAGACCAAACTTCCCAGTGCCACAAAGTCTTTCGGAAACTTTGACCCAGGAAATGAGGGCAGAGGTGAAGGCCAAAGAGGAACTTGCTGGGAAGGCAAATGTGATGAAAAGTGCGAAAGGTTCTCAGAGTGTGGATGGAATTAAATATGTGAAAATGTCAGACAGTGCTGACGGACTTCAGTCGTCTGGAGAACCGACCAAATCTTCAGATAGTGAGGTAGGAAGTGCTGACAGGAGCCGTGAGAGTCTGCCAGGAAAGAAGTATCATGGGAAGGGTCATCTAACAGCTGACACGTCACCTGAAGTGGAAACCTCACAGGAATTCACGACAGCCGATTTCTATATTGATGAGTCGATGCCTTCTTCCATGACAGACTCTCCACCCAATAAACACACTAGTAGTGGTGAGAAGGTCACCATCACTCAACAATTGGTGGAAAAGACACAATCAGTGGCCAAATTGGAAAAGGAGTTGGTTGAAAATCAGAAAAAGCTCACAAGTTCACAGAAACAAATAATTTGCTTGAAGGAAATGATAACTAGGGATATGCCAAAGCTACGAGAACTACATTCAGAGCTACGTAAAACTGTGTTGTCAGACAAAGAAAGTTTGAATAAGCATGTTGATACGTCTTTGAAAAGCACAGTGACTGCATTGACATGTTTTCAGGACAATGTTACGAAAATGCATGAAGAGGCTTTGAATTTGTTGAAAGCCGAACATGTAAAGGCAGTGGGTGTTCTTGAAAACAAAATTGATGAAATATCTAAGAGTAAAAATGAATCACTAAAGGAAGTCAGTACCCTTCAAAGTAAGCTTCAGACAGCTGCCACTGATCTGGAGAAGCTGAAACTAGATTATGAGAAGGAGAGCAAAGGGATGAAGGAGAAGTTTGAGGAAGAGAGAGATGACTTGATACGGAAACATACCCTGGAACAAGAGGTGGAACTGGACAAGGTCCAGTCAGAATACAAGATCGAGTTGGACCAGTACGAAGGACAGGTTCGGGAACTGATGGATAAATTGACTGAAGCTGAACAGAATATTAAGTTGAGTACTGCTCAGATTGAGAAGGAAGTGAACCAGCTTAATGAGAAGTTTGATGAGGAGAAGGCAGCATTGAGAAGTTCTCTTGAAGAGGAGTTCAGAAAGAGGGAAAAGGAAAAGATTGAGGAGGTTCGGGATGAAACCGTGAAGGCCAGTGATAAGAAGATAGAGAAACTTTTGTTGGAACATGAAAAAAAGCTGAAGCAAGAAATGGGGAAACTGTGTCGAGAGAAAGAACAAGCATTGCTGGACCAGAAGGATGAGCTGGAGAATATAAGTAAAGCATATGCTAGTGACAAAATTGAAAAACTGAACAGGGAAAAGGCTGCAGAAATAAAACAGATGCAAGAGCAGACGGAGAAAGGGTTTAATGAAAGACTTTCTGCTCTTGAAAAGGAACATGGTGAGAAGGTGTCAGGACTTAAGCAAGCATTTAGCATCGAGCGAACAGAGCTTGAGCAGCAGCTGAAGCAGCTGGAGCGGAGTGCTATGAGCAGCACAGAGAGTCAGACTGAAGGGCAGGCGGTGATGGCACTCAGTCAACATGAACAGCAGATGGAGGAAGCACAGATGCTGTTGAAAGAGGAGATGGAGAAGGTGAGGCATAGGAGAATGTCTCCTGCAGTTGCAGGGGGCACGTCTAAGGGCCAAAGTTGCATGGGGAACACCAGGAACCTAGGATTATGTTTCTAGGTTTGTAAGCACCAAAAGCGTGCTTGTGGGTTTCGCTAAAATTGTAATCATCCAAGATCTGCGTCATTTCAGGCTTTCCTCCCACATTGAGCTCACACGTTGTGATAAAACTGGAATACTGTTCAAAAGCGTGTTAAACCCAACTCACGCACTCACTCATGCAGTTATAACTTAGTAGTTTGTTGTGTCGTCTTTTTATGTCATTAAACGTATTGTTGCATGACTCAATGCAGTTGTCTCTCTGACAGGCCCTGTGGAAAATAACCAAAAATATGGGGTTACTATTCCTTGAGCAATGAGATTTTCTACTCCAACTTCCAAGACTGGTCCTACAAAAAGAAAGCAAATTAACAGTTGTGAATGATTTATCCACACGACCCATGACGATCTGTAGAATAGGTCTTCAGCAACTCATGCTTGCCGTAAAGTCAGGCTTGCTGATGCATGTCATCGTATCCCAAATGCATGGATCGATGCTCATGATGTCAATCACTGGATTGTCTGGTCCAGATTTGATTATTTACAGACCGCCGTCATATAGCTAGAATATTGCTGAGTGCGGCATTAAACAACAAACAAACAAACAAACAAACTTTTATCCACACATTATTTCCTGGCTGATGACCTGCTAACTGTGTCTCCTTGACAGGCTCTGCGGGAACAGAAGGAGGTGTATGAGAAGGAGATAGAGGAGCTGGCCCAGAAGTTGGACAAGGAGAAGGACGACTCACTCAGCATGAAGACCAGCATGACTGCAGAGAGACAGGTAAAGCATATTCTCAGGACACATATCCCTGTGATGAGCCTTGTAGGAGGATTCCCTACACTGTTCATCAAGGCTGTAGTTTGATAGTATGCTGAAACGGCATACTAGGGCAGAGATGCCAACCCTGTTTGAAGCTGCACAGTTTGATAGGTGCTTCTGCACAGACTGAAATGGCATACTAGGGCAGAGATGCCAACCCTGTTTGAAGCTGCACAGTTTGAGAGGTGCTTCTGCTCAGACTGAAATGGCATACTAGGGCAGAGATGCCAACCCTGTTTGAAGCTGCACAGTTTGATAGGTGCTTCTGCACAGACTGAAATGGCATACTAGGGCAGAGATGCCAACCCTGTTTGAAGCTGCACAGTTTGATAGGTGCTTCTGCACAGACTGAAATGGCATACTGGGGCAGAGATGCCAACCCTGTTTGAAGCTGCACAGTTTGATAGGTGCTTCTGCACAGACTGAAACGGCAAACTAGAGCAGAGATGCCAACCCAGTTTGAAGCTTTGGAGTCATCAGTAGGGTACATAAGCATGATGTCATGTGAAAGTGAGCAATGTGAAGAGTACCATGCAGTGCAGGTTTTCGCTTCGACATTTTCGTTTGGCCTAGACATTAGTGAAACATTGGTACACATGCCCTGATGCTGGTATTTTACCCGCGTGTGAGAGCACCACTGTTTTGAAAAGCAGGGTGATAAAATCTTTAAAATAAACTGAAAAAATTAATCCAATTGCCTTATTATGATTATACCTCGAAATCAAATATCAAGGCAATCCATAACCATAGAAAATTGTTTACATCAGCATCCAAAAAGTGTAAAATAGTGGTTCCATTATGGCATAGGACAACCTCATTATTGACATCTATCAGGGCCACATTTCAACAAGCACGCTTTATTTTGTATATTTTGTATAAAAATTACATTCACTTAAGAAAGCATTTAATTCAAGGTGTTGTGTGGGGGCAAGCTCTCCAATCCTCCAGTTATTTTAGCAAGGTGACAAAAAGTAGCATCGGAAATGCTGCATGCTTTTCAGAAGATGGTCAAAGCTCTCGCATGGTCAAAATTCATCATGTGACAATATTAACTGTATTGCAGAAAGACAATGTAGTGCTTTGATTTCTGAGGAAATATCAGTGTACATGCAATAAGTTCCCTGTAGACTGCTTCACGTCACCGGTGCACTAACTATTTGCTCTCTTTGATATTTTGCGCAAGTAAATAATTTTGACCAAAATGTCAAACATTTTAATAAGGGGAGGAAAAGCATAATAGCATAATATTTGGCTCAAAAACATAATTATTATACAAATAGCATAATGGTTGGCATCTCCGCTTGGGGTGTAAAGATTTATATATGTGGCGATACAATGTATCAATGTCAAGATGCTCAGAATATACTGCTATTGACATCAGTGTATACAAACTATTGAGATCCATCGTGTCCATTGTGAAACCAAACATGATGAAATGTCTCTATCTTAATGACAAGGAGTGCTACGGACATCAACTTCCTTTTTATGCATCCACATTGTGCCCCTTCTGATAAATGTCGGGGTGGTCGGGTAGCCTAGTGGTTAAAGCGTTCGCTTGTCACGCCAAAGACCTGGGTTCGAATCCCGACATGCGTACAATGTCTGAAGCCCATTTCTGGTGTCCCCCGCCATGATATTGCTGGAAAATTTCTAAAAGCGGCGTAAAACCAAACTCACTCACTCACTCACTCTGATGAATGTATAATAAAAAAATGCCTTTGAAGACTCTCAATGTTTTATTGGTTCAGTCATTTAGCTGAATGTTTGTTTGCAGGTCCAGTTCAATGAGGCTGTGAGTCGGGTGGGGCAGGAGAAGGACAAGATGATTGATGAGGTGAAACAACATCTGCAGGAACAGACAGGTGGGTGTACACATAACACTGGGGGAGGGGGCATGGTTTAGTGAACCTCGGGGTGAGGGTGACTAGTGGCATACGGCTGAGGAACAGACAGGTGGGTGTACACATGACACTGGCGGAGGAGGCGTGGTTTAGTGAACCTCGGGTGAGGGTGACTAGTGGCATACGGCTGAGGAACAGACAGGTGGGTGTACACATGACACTGGGGGAGGGGGGCGTGGTTTAGTGAACCTCAGGGTGAGGGTGACTAGTGGCATACGGCTGAGGAACAGACAGGTGGGTGTACACATGACACTGGGGGAGGGGGGAGCTGTTTAGTGAACCTCAGGGTGAGGGTGACTAGTGGTATACGGCTGAGGAACAGACAGGTGGGTCTACACATGACACTGGGGGAGGGGGCGTGGTTGAGTGAACATCGGGGTGAGGATGACTAGTGGCATACAGCTGAGGAACAGACAGGTGGGTGTACACATGACACTGGGGGAGGGGGGAGCTGTTTAGCGAACCTCAGGGTGAGGGTGACTAGTGGCATACAGCTGAGGAACAGACAGGTGGGTGTACACATGACACTGGGGGAGGGGGGCATGGTTTAGTTAACCTCAGGGTGAGGGTGACTAGTGGCATACGGCGGAGGAACAGACAGGTGGGTGTACACATGACACTAGGGGAGGGGGACGTGGTTTAGTGAACCTCAGGGTGAGGGTGATTAGTGGCATACGGCTGAGGAACAGACAGGTGGGTCTACACATGACACTGGGGGAGGGGACGTGGTTTAGTGAACATCGGGGTGAGGGTGACTAGTGGCATACGGTTGAGGAACAGACAGGTGGGTGTACACATGACACTAGGGGAGGGGGACGTGGTTTAGTGAAATCATGGGATTTGAATCCCACATTCAGGCATCGTTGATTCATAAACCTACAAGATTGAAATTTAGAGATTGATATATAGTGAAATTTAATTAATATTCACATGGTGAGATTTTCACCAATCTATACTGTATTTTGTGTTTCAGACAAGCTGGAGTCTGTGTCCAATGAGAAGCTGTTGGTGGAGAAGGACCTGGACGAGATCCGGGCCAAGCTGGAGGAGAATGACAACCAGCATAGGTAAAGACTGGGAACATAAGATGTGAATGAAGGGGGATAATGGGAGGAAAAGAGATAAGTGTCGGGATCATGGTGGTAACAGAGTTGTGGGGGAACATGGAATTAGGGGGTGATGGTTATGAATTATTTGCGTTGATATTGCTTAGTAATCAGTTGTATTGACTGTCTGTTCCCAGGAGTAAGGAGGCTAACTATTTGTGTTGGTATTGTTCTGTCATCTGTCATTTTGACTGTCTGCTCCCAGGAGTAAGGAGGCTAACTATTCGTGTTAGTATACTTCTGTCATCTGTCATTTTGACTGTCTGCTCCCAGGAGTAAGGCTAACTATGAGGCTAACTATTCGTGTTGGTATTTTTCTGTTATCTGTCATTTTGACTGTCTGTTCCCAGGAGTAAGGAGGCTAACTATTCATGTTAGTATACTTCTGTCATCTGTCATTTTGACTGTCTGTTCCCAGGAGTAAGGAGGCTATCTATTCGTGTTGGTATTGTTCTGTCATCTATCATTTTGACTGTCTGTTCCCAGGAGTAAGGAGGCTAACTATTTGTGTTGGTATTGTTCTGTCATCTGTCATTTTGACTGTCTGTTCCCAGAAGTAAGCAGGCTAACTATTCGTGTTGGTATTGTTCTGTCATCTGTCATTTTGACTGTCTGTTCCCAGGAGTAAGGAGGCTAACTATTCATGTTGGTACTGTTCTGTCATCTGTCATTTTGACTGACTGTTACCAGGAGTAAGGAGGCTAACTATTCGTGTTGGTATTGTTCTGTCATCTGTCATTTTGACTGTCTGTTCCCAGGAGTAAGGAGGCTAACTATTTGTGTTGGTATTGTTCTGTCATCTGTCATTTTGACTGCCTGTTCCAAGGAGTAAGGAGGCTAACTATTAATGTTAGTATACTTCTGTCATCTGTCATTTTGACTGTCTGCTCCCAGGAGTAAGGAGGCTAACTATTCGTGTTGGTATTGTTCTGTTATCTGTCATTTTGACTGTCTGTTCCCAGGAGTAAGGAGGCTAACTATTTGTGTTGGTATTGTTCTCTCATCTGTCATTTTGACTGTCTGTTCCCAGGAGTAAGGAGGCTAACTATTCGTGTTGGTATTGTTCTGTCATCTGTCATTTTGACTGTCTGTATCAAGGAGTAAGGAGGCTAACTATTCATGTTAGTATACTTCTGTCATCGATCATTTTGACTCTGTTCCCAGGAGTAAGGAGGCTAACTATTCGTGTTGGTATTGTTCTGTCATCTGTCATTTTGACTGTCTGCTCCCAGGAGTAAGGAGGCTAACTATTCGTGTTAGTATACTTCTGTCATCTGTCATTTTGACTGTCTGCTCCCAGGAGTAAGGCTAACTATGAAGCTAACTATTCATGTTAGTATTTTTCTGTTATCTGTCATTTTGACTGTCTGTTCCCAGGAGTAAGGAGGCTAACTATTCATGTTAGTATACTTCTGTCATCTGTCATTTTGACTGTCTGTTCCCAGGAGTAAGGAGGCTATCTATTCGTGTTGGTATTGTTCTGTCATCTATCATTTTGACTGTCTGTTCCCAGTAGTAAGCAGGCTAACTGTTCGTGTTGGTATTGTTCTGTCATCTGTCATTTTGACTGTCTGTTCCCAGGAGTAAGGAGGCTAACTATTCATGTTGGTACTGTTCTGTCATCTGTCATTTTGACTGACTGTTACCAGGAGTAAGGAGGCTAACTATTCGTGTTGGTATTGTTCTGTCATCTGTCATTTTGACTGCCTGTTCCAAGGAGTAAGGAGGCTAACTATTAATGTTAGTATACTTCTGTCATCTGTCATTTTGACTGTCTGCTCCCAGGAGTAAGGAGGCTAACTATTTGTGTTGGTATTGTTCTGTCATCTCTCATTTTGACTGTCTGTTCCCAGGAGTAAGGAGGCTAACTATTCATGTTAGTATACTTCTGTCATCGGTCATTTTGACTGTCTGTTCCCTGGAGTAAGGAGGCTAACTATTCGTGTTGGTATTGTTCTGTTATCTGTCATTTTGACTGTCTGTTCCCAGGAGTAAGGAGGCTAACTATTTGTGTTGGTATTGTTCTCTCATCTGTCATTTTGACTGTCTGTTCCCAGGAGTAAGGAGGCTAACTATTCGTGTTGGTATTGTTCTGTCATCTGTCATTTTGACTGTCTGTATCAAGGAGTAAGGAGGCTAACTATTCATGTTAGTATACTTCTGTCATCGATCATTTTGACTCTGTTCCCAGGAGTAAGGAGGCTAACTATTCGTGTTGGTATTGTTCTGTCATCTGTCATTTTGACTGTCTGTTCCCAGGAGTAAGGAGGCTAACTATTTGTGTTGGTATTGTTCTGTCATCTGTCATTTTGACTGTCTGTTCCCAGGAGTAAGGAGGCTAACTATTCGTGTTGGTATTGTTCTGTCATCTGTCATTTTGACTGTCTGTTCCCAGGAGTAAGGAGGCTAACTATTCCTGTTGGTATTGTTCTGTCATCTGTCATTTTGACTGTCTGTTTCCAGGAGTAAGGAGGCTAACTATTCGTGTTGGTATTGTTCTGTCATCTGTCATTTTGACTGTCTGTTCCCAGGAGTAAGGAGGCGAACTATTTGTGTTGGTATTGTTCTGTCATCTGTCATTTTGACTGACTGTTCCCTGGAGTAAGGAGGCTAACTATTCGTGTTGATTTTATTCTGTCATTTGTTATTTTGACTGTCTGTTCCCAGGAGTAAGGAGGCTAACTATTCTCGTTGGTATTGTTCTGTCATCTGTTATTTTGACTGTCTGTTTCCAGGAGTAAGGAGGCTAACTATTCGTGTTGGTATTGTTCTGTCATCTGTCATTTTGACTGTCTGTTCCCAGGAGTAAGGAGGCTAACTATTCGTGTTGGTATTGTTCTGTCATCTGTCATTTTGACTGACTGTTCCCTGGAGTAAGGAGGCTAACTATTCGTGTTGATTTTATTCTGTCATTTGTTATTTTGACTGTCTGTTCCCAGGAGTAAGGAGGCTAACTATTCGTGTTGGTATGGTTCTGTCATCTGTCATTTTGACTGTCTGTTCCCAGGAGTAAGGAGGCTCAGCTCCAGGATGAGATGAAGGAAAGATGAATAAACCTCAAATGAAAGAAACTAATGCTAATTCTAACAGTTACTCCTAAGGGAGTCTTAACACTGTCAAACACTGTCGAACACAGTCTAACGCCAGCTGTCTAACACCAGCTGTCTAACACCATCTCTCTAACCATCTAACTAAAGAACTCACACCAACTATCTCTCTAACCATCTAACTAACGAACTCTCTAACGAAATCTGACCAACTAACTAACTGATGCTCGCTACCGCCTTATATTTGCTCACAACCCTCACATTTCACGTGCAGTCACTGCCATACGTTGGTGTGTTCAGTGAGGCAATGTGATCGTTATGCATCGGGTGCGTTTTGGAGAACAGATTCTTTATTTAAAACTAACACGACTGCACGTGAAGCGCGATCTATAGGCTCCGGGTGCGTTTTGGAGCACTTTGTTAATGACCAAACATGTCTTCAGAACATCAGCATCCAAAATGTGGAAAACAGTGGTTCCATTATGGCATAGGACAACCTCATTATTGACAATCTATCAGGGCCACATTTCAACAAGCACGCTTTATTTTGTATATTTTGTATAAAAATTACATTCACTTAAGAAAGCATTTAATTCAAGGTGTTGTGTGGGGGCAAGCTCTCCAATCCTCCAGTTATTTTAGCAAGGTGACAAAAAGTAGCATCAAGGAGGCTAACTATTCATGTTGGTATTGTTCTGTCATCGGTCATTTTGACTGTCTGTTCCCAGGAGTAAGGAGGCTAACTATTCGTGTTGGTATTTTTCTGTCATCTGTCATTTTGACTGTCTGTTCCCAGGAGTAAGGAGGCTAACTATTCGTGTTGGTACTGTTCTGTCATCTGTCATTTTGACTGTCTGTTACCAGGAGTAAGGAGGCTAACTATTCGTGTTGGTATTGTTCTGTCATCTGTCATTTTGACTGTCTGTTCCCAGGAGTAAGGAGGCTAACTATTTGTGTTGGTATTGTTCTGTCATCTGTCATTTTGACTGCCTGTTCCCAGGAGTAAGGAGGCTAACTATTAATGTTAGTATACTTCTGTCATCTGTCATTTTGACTGTCTGCTCCCAGGAGTAAGGAGGCTAACTATTTGTGTTGGTATTGTTCTGTCATCTCTCATTTTGACTGTCTGTTCCCAGGAGTAAGGAGGCTAACTATTCATGTTAGTATACTTCTGTCATCGGTCATTTTGACTGTCTGTTCCCTGGAGTAAGGAGGCTAACTATTCGTGTTGGTATTGTTCTGTTATCTGTCATTTTGACTGTCTGTTCCCAGGAGTAAGGAGGCTAACTATTCGTGTTGGTATTGTTCTGTCATCTGTCATTTTGACTGTCTGTTCCCAGGAGTAAGGAGGCTAACTATTCGTGTTGGTATTGTTCTGTCATCTGTCATTTTGACTGTCTGTATCAAGGAGTAAGGAGGCTAACTATTCATGTTAGTATACTTCTGTCATCGATCATTTTGACTCTGTTCCCAGGAGTAAGGAGGCTAACTATTCGTGTTAGTATTGTTCTGTCATCTGTCATTTTGACTGTCTGTTCCCAGGAGTAAGGAGGCTAACTATTCGTGTTGGTATTGTTCTGTCATCTGTCATTTTGTCTGTCTGTTCCCAGGAGTAAGGAGGCTAACTATTCGTGTTGGTATTGTTCTGTCATCTGTCATTTTGACTGTCTGTTCCCAGGAGTAAGGAGGCTAACTATTCGTGTTGGTATTGTTCTGTCATCTGTCATTTTGACTGTCTGTTCCAAGGAGTAAGGAGGCTAACTATTCCTGTTGGTATTGTTCTGTCATCTGTCATTTTGACTGTCTGTTTCCATGAGTAAGGAGGCTAACTATTCGTGTTGGTATTGTTCTGACATCTGTCATTTTGACTGTCTGTTCCCAGGAGTAAGGAGGCGAACTATTTGTGTTGGTATTGTTCTGACATCTGTCATTTTGACTGACTGTTCCCTGGAGTAAGGAGGCTAACTATTCGTGTTGGTTTTATTCTGTCATCTGTCATTTTGATTGTCTGTTCCCAGGTGTAAGGAGGCTAACTATTCGTGTTGGTATTGTTCTGTCATCTGTCATTTTGACTGTCTGTTCCCAGGAGTAAGGAGGCTAACTATTTGTGTTGGTATTGTTCTGTCATCTGTCATTTTGACTGTCTGTTCCCAGGAGTAAGGAGGCTAACTATTCGTGTTGGTATGGTTCTGTCATCTGTCATTTTGACTGTCTGTTCCCAGGAGTAAGGAGGCTCAGCTCCAGGATGAGATGTCCCTCCTCCAACAGAAGCTGTCTCAGCTGCAGCAGCAGATTCTCACCAAGTCCGAGATTGCTGTCACACCGCCAGATGTCAAGGAGGGGTATGCCCTATGTAGTCAGAGATTCTGAATTTATTATCATTATTAATTTCATTTTACCAGTTCTTCATTTAATCATCAGTCTGCTATAGTACCTCTATAAAATGCTGTAGTCATTTAATCTTAACCAGCGTCATATTTTCAATTTACTTTTCCTCTCTTTCAAAGAATTATAAGAAGTAAAAAATATTGACCTCAATGTATTTATATATACTTACCGCCAAAAGAAACGCGAACCATAGAAAAATATAGAGAGGTTTGTATGTTAAGAAAAGATGTTTCAAATGTGTACCAATTAATGAGAAAACGGGTAAACAGTCAAGTTTCTTGTATTCTTATCACGATATGCTGCACACGATGTCCAAACTAATCCTGCACGAGTCATGTATCTATGACGTCACCTGTGATGCGTTCATGAGCGTTGGTTCACAAAACAACAGTATGTTCATTTGTGCATTGAACCAATCTTATATCTCTTGAATATGAGTAATTCTTCATATATTAACCAACATGTATGGTATCAACGTTTCTTTTGTCGGTGAGTATAGTTTCTTCAATGTGCTTTGCAGTTAAATGAATATTTTTGCTAAAACTACCAAATTTCTAATATTTCTCTTGCAGAGCATCAGTGGTTTCAATTGAGTCTAAAACATCTGAGTTGGAATCTGTAAGTACATATGTCCCTGAACACTCTCGACAGTATTATGTAGGGCAAACTTCGACATTGAACGATTCAGTGTGAACATACCCTCAATGACTTTGATTTTAATGATTTCAAATATTGTCAAATATAGAGATAAAGATATCCTTTGGGCTTGACCATAGCCATGATCTTGTGTGAATGTTTTCCTGCTGGTGTTTATGTATTGGAGAAAACACGCTCACAAGGTTTTGGTAGACAGAGCATGCCCTGGGGAGAGGGAAAAACCAAGGGGGTGAAGCCCCTGCGGTTTTTCCCGACCCCCAGGGCATGCTCTGTCTACCAAAACCGAGGGAAAGTGTTTTTCCTTTCTTATAAACCGAAAAAAGAAACTTAAAACAACATTTATCAACATTTTTATGTTTCGAACATACTTTCCATGAACCTTAGGAAACGCGCGTAAGATATCTGTTGCTGGCGTACGGATCTTGAAAAGGACATTTTAAAAAACAGTGAGGCTTATCAACACCTCTGTAGCCTCGTGGTACACTCACTTGGCTACAGATATGAAGGTTGCGAGTTCAATCCTCGGGAATATAAAGAAAACATTTGTCATTTGATTTTACATTTCATTACATGTTACAATCTGAACGGAAGTTGTATTAATAAAATACCCAGGATATTATATAAAATCTCAGGGACTTTACAACGTCCCTGTTTATAAGATTTAACCCGACTGGAAAGTAAAACCTCACAATAGGTTTTAATGCCTATAGAAAGAAGTCTCTTGCTTAATGGCGATCCCAATGAATAGGTTTATAAGCAAACCACAGGTATGCAGGTAACATCATCTATACTTGTTACCAGTTGAATCAGAAGGTTGATGTCTGCTTGTCATAATAATACTGATTAAATAATCTCTGCTGTAATACTGTGATGTCTGAACGCTTGACTCTGATACGTTCCAGGCTCTGAAGAACAAGGAGGAGGAGATTAGCAAGCTTCAGGAGAGAGTGGTGAGCTAGTCGTACTCATGTACTCCTTAGACAATACGAAATACATAGTTGATATTGATATACATGTATGAAGTACAGAGTACAACAAGCTTCAGGAGAGAGTGGTGAGCTAGTCGTACTCTTGTACTCCTTAGACAATATGAAATACATAGTTGATATTGATTTATCATCCAAAACTAGCTCCCACAGGAGAAATCGCTTGGGTGAGATCAAGCGATATTATCTACACTGTAGATATCGCTGCAATGAAACTGCATCACAATGCTTTGCTGCCTATTGTGATGTCATTGGTTACCATGACGTCACAATCAAATGACATCACTAATGGCTCTGCTACAGAAGCTGTTAGCAGTACTTTTTACCCTTAAGGCACTGCTTATTAGTGTCTACAAACGGAAAAAGCTTTAAGAATGACGTTGGATGATAAATAACATCTTTAGGGGTAAGAATTGGTCTTTAGCAACCCATGATTGTAGTAAGAGGCAATAACAGGATCGGGTGGCCCGTTTTACTGACTTATTTGATGCATGTCATTGTGCTCTAATTGTGCAGATTGATGCGCATGAGGTCAAATCACTGGATTGTCTGGTCCAGATTTGATTATTTACAAATCACTGTCATGGAGCTGGAATATTGCTGAGTTAAACAAGAAAACACACAAACGTAAGGGGTTACACCTTAAAAGGAAATCCCCACATTAGTAAAGGTGCCTACATTAAAGTTCGTCTACACTACAGTCAGTCATTGGTTCTGATGGAGTGCTTGTTTTCCAGATGGAGCTCTCCATGACAGCCAGCACCAGGACGCTGGCACAGGACAAGGTCTCCATCACAAGGTAGCAACATCTTCATCTTCAGACATGGAATAATATTGTATATAGACATTTTTTCCGTTGTAAACATGAATTTTGCTCACTACGGTAACTTTTTTGTCAGTGGACTTAAAATCTCTACATTTTCTGATGAACATAAAAAGATATTTGATTTACACACACATTCTCTTTGATTCCATGGTTCACATAGTTGTCCCCCTTTGCTTCAGCTGTATGGTGGGGGACCTGGTGCTGCTCTGCCTTGATGAGCGACACGACCAGTATGTTGTGTTCACCATCACCACCACGCTGCACTTCCTCCACACCGAGTGCCTGGACAGTCTGGGACTCAAGACAGGTACACATGCTGGGCTCCTGCCTTGTTGTCAGGACCCGTGAAGATCCGGGGTGGAATAGATCTTCAGCAACCCATGCTTGCCGTAAAAGGCGACTATGCTTGTCATAAAAGGCGACTAAGGGGATCGGGTGGTCAGGCTCGCTGACTTGGTTGATGCATGTCATCTATCCCAATTGCGTGGATCGATGCTCATGATGTCAATCACTGGATTGTCTGGTCCAGACTCGATTATTTACAGACCGCTGTCATATAGCTGGAATATTGCTGAGTGCAGCGTAAAACAACAAACCAACCAACCAACCAACCTTGTCAGCTGTAGAAACTAACTAGTCCACTAGTCCTTATAATGATAACATTTAGCAAAATCCTTAAAAAAAGGGGAAATTTCTACTTGTCCTTATGATACCTTAACTATTGGGCAGTTTGGCAAGGACCACAGGACTAGTGCCATTTTCTACTACTGTATATTGCTTACCTAAGTCTGTCTGCTAGTTCAGGAACTGAGTCTCTCAGCATCTTTATGTCATTACCTGTGATGGGAGGAAGCCAGTTTCTAATGCTGGTTGTACTGGTGGACCATGTGACTTAGACAAGTAAATATGCTAGACTCCTGCCTTTGTTGTACTGTTGGACTGTGAGACAAGTAAACATGCTAGATTCAAGCCTTTGTTGTACTGTTGGACTGTGAGACAAGTAAACATGCTAGATTCAAGCCTTTGTTGTACTGATGGACTGTGAGACAAGTAAACATGCTAGATTCAAGCCTTTGTTGTACTGTTGGACTGTGAGACAAGTACACATGCTAGATTCAAGCCTTTGTTGTACTGATGGACTGTGAGACAAGTAAACATGCTAGATTCAAGCCTTTGTTGTACTGATGGACTGTGAGACAAGTAAACATGCTAGACTCCTGCCTTTGTTGTACTGATGGACTGTGAGACAAGTAAACATGCTAGATTCAAGCCTTTGTTGTACTGTTGGACTGTGAGACAAGTAAACATGCTAGACTCCTGCCTTTGTTGTAAAGTTGGACTGTGAGACAAGTAAACATGCTAGACTCCTGCCTTTGTTGTACTGTTGGACTGTGAGACAAGTAAACATGCTAGATTCAAGCCTTTGTTGTACTGTTGGACTGTGAGACAAGTAAACATGCTAGATTCAAGCCTTTGTTGTACTGTTGGACTGTGAGACAAGTAAACATGCTAGATTCAAGCCTTTGTTGTACTGTTGGACTGTGAGACAAGTAAACATGCTAGATTCAAGCCTTTGTTGTACTGTTGGACTGTGAGACAAGTAAACATGCTAGATTCAAGCCTTTGTTGTACTGATGGACTGTGAGACAAGTAAACATGCTAGATTCAAGCCATTGTTGTACTGTTGGACTGTGAGACAAGTAAACATGCTAGACTTCTGCCTTTGTTGTACTGTTGGACTGTGAGACAAGTAAACATGCTAGATTCAAGCCTTTGTTGTACTGTTGGACTGTGAGACAAGTACACATGCTAGATTCAAGCCTTTGTTGTACTGTTGGACTGTGAGACAAGTAAACATGCTAGATTCAAGCCTTTGTTGTACTGTTGGACTGTGAGACGAGTAAACATGCTAGACTCCTGCCTTTGTTGTAAAGTTGGACTGTGAGACAAGTAAACATGCTAGATTCAAGCCATTGTTGTACTGTTGGACTGTGAGACAAGTAAACATGCCAGACTCCTGCCTTTGTTGTACTGTTGGACTGTGAGACAAGTAAACATGCTAGACTCCTGCCTTTGTTGTACTGTTGGACTGTGAGACAAGTAAACATGCTAGATTCAAGCCTTTGTTGTACTGTTGGACTGTGAGACAAGTACACATGCTAGATTCAAGCCTTTGTTGTACTGATGGACTGTGAGACAAGTAAACATGCTAGATTCAAGCCTTTGTTGTACTGATGGACTGTGAGACAAGTAAACATGCTAGACTCCTGCCTTTGTTGTACTGATGGACTGTGAGACAAGTAAACATGCTAGATTCAAGCCTTTGTTGTACTGTTGGACTGTGAGACAAGTAAACATGCTAGACTCCTGCCTTTGTTGTAAAGTTGGACTGTGAGACAAGTAAACATGCTAGACTCCTGCCTTTGTTGTACTGTTGGACTGTGAGACAAGTAAACATGCCAGACTCCTGCCTTTGTTGTACTGTTGGACTGTGAGACAAGTAAACATGCTAGATTCAAGCCTTTGTTGTACTGTTGGACTGTGAGACAAGTAAACATGCTAGATTCAAGCCTTTGTTGTACTGTTGGACTGTGAGACAAGTAAACATGCTAGATTCAAGCCTTTGTTGTACTGTTGGACTGTGAGACAAGTAAACATGCTAGATTCAAGCCTTTGTTGTACTGTTGGACTGTGAGACAAGTAAACATGCTAGATTCAAGCCTTTGTTGTACTGATGGACTGTGAGACAAGTAAACATGCTAGATTCAAGCCATTGTTGTACTGTTGGACTGTGAGACAAGTAAACATGCTAGACTTCTGCCTTTGTTGTACTGTTGGACTGTGAGACAAGTAAACATGCTAGATTCAAGCCTTTGTTGTACTGTTGGACTGTGAGACAAGTACACATGCTAGATTCAAGCCTTTGTTGTACTGTTGGACTGTGAGACAAGTAAACATGCTAGATTCAAGCCTTTGTTGTACTGTTGGACTGTGAGACGAGTAAACATGCTAGACTCCTGCCTTTGTTGTAAAGTTGGACTGTGAGACAAGTAAACATGCTAGATTCAAGCCATTGTTGTACTGTTGGACTGTGAGACAAGTAAACATGCTAGACTCCTGCCTTTGTTGTACTGATGGACTGTGAGACAAGTAAACATGCTAGACTCCTGCCTTTGTTGTACTGATGGACTGTGAGACAAGTAAACATGCTAGACTCCTGCCTTTGTTGTACTGATGGACTGTGAGACAAGTAAACATGCTAGATTCAAGCCATTGTTGTACTGTTGGACTGTGAGACAAGTAAACATGCTAGACTCCTGCCTTTGTTGTACTGTTGGACTGTGAGACAAGTAAACATGCTAGATTCAAGCCTTTGTTGTACTGTTGGACTGTGAGACAAGTAAACATGCTAGACTCCTGCCTTTGTTGTACTGATGGACTGTGAGACAAGTAAACATGCTAGACTCCTGCCTTTGTTGTACTGATGGACTGTGAGACAAGTAAACATGCTAGATTCAAGCCTTTGTTGTACTGTTGGACTGTGAGACAAGTAAACATGCTAGACTCCTGCCTTTGTTGTAAAGTTGGACTGTGAGACAAGTAAACATGCTAGATTCAAGCCTTTGTTGTACTGTTGGACTGTGAGACAAGTAAACATGCTAGACTCCTGCCTTTGTTGTACTGTTGGACTGTGAGACAAGTAAACATGCTAGATTCAAGCCTTTGTTGTACTGTTGGACTGTGAGACAAGTAAACATGCCAGACGCCTGCCTTTGTTGTACTGATGGACTGTGAGACAAGTAAACATGCTAGACTCCTGCCTTTGTTGTACTGTTGGACTGTGAGACAAGTAAACATGCTAGATTCAAGCCTTTGTTGTACTGTTGGACTGTGAGACAAGTAAACATGCCAGACTCCTGCCTTTGTTGTAAAGTTGGACTGTGAGACAAGTAAACATGCTAGATTCAAGCCTTTGTTGTACTGTTGGACTGTGAGACAAGTAAACATGCTAGACTCCTGCCTTTGTTGTAAAGTTGGACTGTGAGACAAGTAAACATGCTAGATTCAAGCCTTTGTTGTACTGTTTGACTGTGAGACAAGTAAACATGCTAGATTCAAGCCTTTGTTGTACTGTTGGACTGTGAGACAAGTAAACATGCTAGACTCCTGCCTTTGTTGTACTGTTGGACTGTGAGACAAGTAAACATGCTAGATTCAAGCCTTTGTTGTACTGTTGGACTGTGAGACAAGTAAACATGCCAGACTCCTGCCTTTGTTGTACTGATGGACTGTGAGACAAGTAAACATGCTAGACTCCTGCCTTTGTTGTACTGTTGGACTGTGAGACAAGTAAACATGCTAGATTCAAGCCTTTGTTGTACTGTTGGACTGTGAGACAAGTAAACATGCCAGACTCCTGCCTTTGTTGTAAAGTTGGACTGTGAGACAAGTAAACATGCTAGATTCAAGCCTTTGTTGTACTGTTGGACTGTGAGACAAGTAAACATGCTAGACTCCTGCCTTTGTTGTAAAGTTGGACTGTGAGACAAGTAAACATGCTAGATTCAAGCCTTTGTTGTACTGTTTGACTGTGAGACAAGTAAACATGCTAGATTCAAGCCTTTGTTGTACTGTTGGACTGTGAGACAAGTAAACATGCTAGATTCAAGCCATTGTTGTACTGTTGGACTGTGAGACAAGTAAACATGCTAGATTCAAGCCTTTGTTGTAAAGTTGGACTGTGAGACAAGTAAACATGCTAGACTCCTGCCTTTGTTGTACTGTTGGACTGTGAGACAAGTAAACATGCTAGACTCCTGCCTTTGTTGTAAAGTTGGACTGTGAGACAAGTAAACATGCTAGATTCAAGCCTTTGTTGTACTGTTGGACTGTGAGACAAGTAAACATGCTAGACTCCTGCCTTTGTTGTACTGTTGGACTGTGAGACAAGTAAACATGCTAGACTCCTGCCTTTGTTGTACTGATGGACTGTGAGACAAGTAAACATGCTAGATTCAAGCCTTTGTTGTACTGTTGGACTGTGAGACAAGTAAACATGCTAGATTCAAGCCTTTGTTGTACTGTTGGACTGTGAGACAAGTAAACATGCTAGATTCAAGCCTTTGTTGTACTGTTGGACTGTGAGACAAGTAAACATGCTAGACTCCTGCCTTTGTTGTACTGATGGACTGTGAGACAAGTAAACATGCTAGATTCAAGCCTTTGTTGTACTGTTGGACTGTGAGACAAGTAAACATGCCAGACTCCTGCCTTTGTTGTAAAGTTGGACTGTGAGACAAGTAAACATGCTAGATTCAAGCCTTTGTTGTACTGTTGGACTGTGAGACAAGTAAACATGCTAGACTCCTGCCTTTGTTGTACTGATGGACTGTGAGACAAGTAAACATGCCAGACTCCTGCCTTTGTTGTACTGTTGGACTGTGAGACAAGTAAACATGCTAGATTCAAGCCTTTGTTGTACTGATGGACTGTGAGACAAGTAAACATGCTAGATTCAAGCCTTTGTTGTACTGTTGGACTGTGAGACAAGTAAACATGCTAGACTCCTGCCTTTGTTGTACTGTTGGACTGTGAGACGAGTAAACATGCTAGATTCAAGCCTTTGTTGTACTGATGGACCGTGTGACTCAAGACACGTATTTAGTTCAGTTTACAAGTTATCTTGTATACACATTTGCCTTTGATACTGAGAGATTACTGAGAGTTTGTATGTTTTCAGGGCCGAGTGAAACAAGGAAATCCTGGGTACTTGCTGAGATAGTTGATAAAGAATACTGTCAGGCAAAGAAGGTTAGTCCAGCAGTAGACTATAACACATAATGCTTACGATTCCTCTACCTCATTTACATCATTGCCTTAATTCTAGCATATGGCTGCAGTCACACTATAACTAACTTTCAGATTTTCCAACAGAAGTCCTCTTCACTGCCAACTACACATGATAAGTTGTTCCCCAAATTGCACATACAGCTCACCTGTGTGCAAGGTGGGAAAACTGTTACTTCTTTCCTGTGTGTGCAAGAGGACACATCTCCTCATTGGACTGTCTCTAGCACTGGTTGTTTTCACACTTTAGACTATTAGTTCAGTAGTCTAGTAAAAATTCTGCATCACTTCGGCCTTTCCTCCCACATTAAACTGACATGCTGTGATATAATTGGAATAATGTTAAAAGCGGCGTTAAACCCTACTCACTCACTCCAAGCAGAAATTTGCCACGGAGGCCTTGTTCGACTCCCGACTAACTGTCCTATCTTTAGAAGTAGACCAACTTAAGAAGTCGCTGAAGGAATTGGCGCAGAAGACACCCCTGGCCAAGAGGCCACATGGGGGATTGCCTCCTGTTGAACTGTGCCTTTCTACTGCAGCCAGCTCTACGGCCATACGGCTCAAAGGCGGCATGCACGAGAAATCGTCCAGTCAGCAGCCGGGTAGAAGCTCTAAAGCTTTTCCCCCACCAAGAATCCTGTCTGTCTTGCTCACTGCTCAGTACCCACGATCGGCAGGTGCCTGTACCATTACCAACAGAAAAGTCAAAGGAAATCGATCACCTCCGATCACTGGATTCTAGATGTCATGACTCACGGATACAAACTGCACTTTCAAATTCATCCTGCCCTTGTATCCCGGCCTCATGGACCACCTCCCCAGTCATCTGTCTCTAGTAGTTTGATGTTTGGAAAGAAGTGCACACAGGAGAGTTGTATGTGCTATTAGGGGAACAACTTATCATCTGTAGTTGACTTCTGTTGAAAATCTGAAGATTTAGTTGTGTGATTGCAGTCAAAATACAGGATTTATGGCAATGATGTTATAGAGGTTGTATTCTTAGAATTATTAATGATGAAAACTATTGTTTTGATTATTGTAGAAGGGACCTGACAGTGATCATTAGCTTATTCACACTGTAGTGATGTAACAATAGCATGTTAAGTCACACGATCGAAGACCACTGTGTATTAGAGGCACCAGTGCTGTATTGTGCCTCAACTTAATCTGTAGAGTTGTGTCCTCAGCTGTCAGAATGTGATGTTCACTGGTTCGAATCCCAGAGTCCCGATGAGATTCTGTGGGGGAGTAGGTGCCAGCAACCCTGGTCATACTCGAGGCTTGATTGTGTTAGCAACCCTGATGGCTTGGATCATTTCACATCGATCTGGCCTATCTGGATTTTGGGCTAGAATAGGTCCCAGCTACCTTTGGTGGTCATAAGAAGCAGCCAAATGAATTCGGAGGTCAGGCTCGACGAATTGAGTGATTGCATGTTTTGTATCCCAATGATGTGGATCGTTTGCTCACAATATCAATCACTAGGTTCCTTGGTCCAGATTCGATTATTTCCAGACTGCCGTTTTGTAGCCAGCATATTGGGAACAACATACCGGTACACACACACACACACATCTGTTTGGTCTAAAGTTTGGTGCGGTAATATTGCTGACTGCGATCTATAAGCACCATCTGTTAACTAACTCCCTTGTTCTAATCCCACTTTCGACTACATTCGACCATGTCTGTGTTTCACCACAGTGGTAAATGTCAATGTATGAGACAAATTAAATTTGCATGCCATGATGCTTATGATAAATTTCTATGCAAATTTGTGTTTAGCAAACTCAACAGTTTCTTTGATTCGATGAAGATGATGCAAATTGTCAACACTAAATAAAGTTTGTAAACTGCATAATCATTTCATGTTCCACAGCCCCAGAACAGATTCAAAGTCCCAGTGGGAACAAAGTTCTATCGCGTGAAAGCCAAACCATGGGCAAGGGAGACAACTCGGAAAGACTCCGCCTCTTCCAGCAAGACCTCCCAAGGCGGTGCAGCTGTATAGCCAGGCCTCCTCCATCTCATGTGCAATCTGGACGACGTGGTACACCTCACCTTCAGTCAACAACATGTACATAGGATATTTATGTATTTTCTGCTTGTGATTTCAGTGATAAATTATTAATAAAAAAGATGTAATATAATCATAACGTGATTAATACGGGAACTGTGTGTTTATGAGAAATGAACTTTTATGTTAATAATGAACTACTGCAGTCGTTTCTTATCATTTGAGGTGTCGTAGTGTGTTTGTGAAGCTGTGCGGGATTGTAATGGCTTTCTGTGTGCTCATTTTCATGGAATATCTCTGTTGCAAAATGCACATATCAAGCAAGACTTAATGTTGCAATAAGATATGTCTTAATGTGAGAATTCTGATATGTCCTACATTGTTTACCTTTGGTAGAGTTGTATGAAAATTAGTCACAATGTGTTCATAATATACTCATTACTGCAGCGTGAATTTGATTCTTGAAATGTATGCTTCAGCAATGCAACAACGTGTGTCATAATTGTACATTGTATATAAGTATGGTTTATGTCAAATGAGGGTGGGAAGTTCTTGTACATATAGGTGTAAGTCGCTCTATCAGCAATGTCGTACCTAGAAACACCCTCACCTGTCTTTTGAGAAGTCTGCAGTGAAATGAGAGACCAGTGGATGTCAGTATTTGTCTGACTCATAATGCTCTCTATATCGGGGCAGTGGTTGAAGTGTTCCATTGTCACTCCAAAGGCCTTGGTTCGATTCCACACATGGGTACACAGCCTTAGAAATTCTACTTTTATAAGATTAGTCCAGAGGACAAGTATAAACCTTATTTCCCTAGTCCTCGGAGTTTATAGCTAGTCCTGCTTGAACAAGACAAAATTGTTTACTATGTTTACATTTTCTGTCAGCTTTATTCACTGCCAGTTTGTAGCAAACTTGAAGCTTTGAGAACTGTTTCAGAATCTTTGTCCGCAAATGCAACTAGTCATGAGGACTACCATCAATGGATTTTTACTTGTCCTCAGCACAATTTAGTTGTTTTATGCTCGCGGACTAACATGAATTTGAAGGCTAAATACAATGTGTTAAGCCAGTTTATGGTGCCTGCTGGAATATTGCTAAAAGTGGCATAAAACTGAACTCACTCACTCACACTGAATGTCATCATATCCTGTCTCTCAGAATGATTGTGCATCCACGAATATTGTCTCACAGTGATCCCAGAGTGGAAATTGTCATCAGTCTCCCATGTCTGCTGTAACAGCCGACCGAAATAAGGAACAATGTGTGACAAATGGCGTCACCTGGCCTAGACTTGGTTATTTACAGGCTTCTGTTGTGTAGGAGGAATATTGCTGGTAGCGAAATGAACTTACTCACTCCGGGAGAGTTTGACATTTCTGTAAAATATTGAGACATGCCCATGATAAAGATACTTGCGGTTCTCTGATTCCCTCAGAGTATTTCCCCAAGAGTAGCTGAATCATGTTAGAGTGTGATCAGGGCACTAGATTAGTTAGTCATGGAATTGTGTTGTTAGGATGACTAACTTACTTAGCCATAATATATTTCCTCGACCATTGCCTGAACATTGATCATAGGCTCTAGAATGTATGCTTACCATACTGTGATTTTAGCTTGCCAACTTTCATTTTATCTGGAAAATATCAAATGTTTTTCTTTTATGTATTTATTGGTACTGGTAATGTGGTTTAATGTGTAATGTTTTATATGCAGCAAGCATGAGAGAGTAATGCTCCAACTGTTTCTGGTAATGTGTTTAGGGAAGAATTTTGGTTTTAGTTGAACTTCAGTTAATATTTTGATCTATTTGTTGTGTTGTATTTCCTCTTGTTATACTTTTTATTGACTATTTTCAGAGGTCATGATGAGATGGTCACATTTAAGGCCCATGCGTGATACCCAGATGGGTATGATTTGTTGAGGTCATTATTGATGTAATAAGGCGGTCAATAGCGAAAAATGACATGAATGCCTATTTATTACTCAAAGTTTGTGTTTCAGTTCTTTTTCATTTTTGTCTTTGTATTATTGTAGTTGAGAGATAACATTCATAAACTGTTATAGTTAATATGAAAATAAGATGAAAATTTAGTTAAGGACTGGGTTATTTTTTCTGTTGTCAATGTAAAATGTCAAATAATTCTGCGGAATACTGAACCTATTGACTCTGTGATCTCCTAGATGGTAATGTAAGGTTACTCACATGAAGTTAGCTTGGATATACTCTAGCCTCGGATTTAGACATCACAATCCATTCGACAATAACTGTTCCTGCTATGTTACAGCACCACAATATTTACACCAATTATAAAAGACCCTTCTATGTTACTGTTAATAAAATATCGTGTCAAACACGACCATTGTGCAGATAGGAAAGGGATGGGGGGTTATACTTGTTTTATTAAGATAAGTTGATCAAACAAACCTACAGCATGCATATTCACCAGTTCCTCAACAATTGTTCTCTTGACAGTTCCTGTACTGTCACATATAACTATTGAGGTACGGTAAATAACTTCGGATATATTTGGAGAAGTTAAGTGCTTTCAATTTACAGACTACGAATTTTAAATATATTCCATTTATTTGATTTCTCAAGAGAGATTTAGTGACACTGTCATAACGCTTGTCAAATAATTTGGTTTCTTTGCTTTGGCGTCCATATGTTTATAGGGTTCTTGGTATTGTTAGCATTGCAATGGTATAGTGTTAAATTATTTATAGTGTAAGTATTCTGAGGGCAGATGTTATCTTTTTCTGTATATATTCCTCAATATTAAATATCCTTACTGTAAATCTGGTAAGTAATGCGAAAAGCAAGAAATAGCTCAATAACTGTGCCATACACTCGTCATCACTTCTGACATTGGAAAGGAAACACTACAAATGATAATAATTACAACAAATATTTCCTTTGTTTTAATTTTCAAACAATGGATCAGAATTACAACTATCCCATCACGACTGATTGTAGCCGAGTTAGTTTTAACTGAAGACAACAGGAGAGGGACACAGCCAGTAATAATCGCCTGCTTGCGACCGAGATGACATCGAGAAATCCAGAACAGCGCCCAACTATGTGCTCTGCCACTGGTGAAAGAGGTCACAAGAGCTTCTAGACACTAATTGGCAAATCCTGTTGTGTTTCATTTGATCTCAATCATCTCATCAACAATGTGTCGCAATACTTTCTAATTCAGTTATGTTTCTTGTTCTCCATTCACCATATTTGCTGATGCAGGGGTAGAATAGGTCTTCAGCAACCCATACTTGCCGTAAAAGGTGACTATGCTTGTCATAAAAGGCGACTAACGGGATCGGGTGGTCAGGCTCGCTGACTTGGTTGATACATGTCATCTATCCCAATTTGCGTGGATTGATGCTCATGATATTAATCACTGGTTTGTCTGGTCCAGACTCGATTATTTACAGACCGCCGTCATATAGCTGGAATATTGCTAAGTGCGGCGTTAAACAACAAACCAACCAACCAACCAACCATATTTGCTGATGCCTGACACTCCAGATTTACAGTATGCAGTTGTGTTCCCATGTATGTTACTTTGTTGAAGAGAATGGCAATATAAACAGTGATAAAGCTTGTTCTTGTCGTGGAGTGTGAATTTAAAGTATATGAAGATACTGGGAACGTAAGGACATGTGATCATGAATGGCAAAGTAGTCAGTATGTAAATACCGTTTGTACCATATTTAGTGTGCTTTGCATTGAGATTGTTTTGAAAGTAAGATGGTGATTACCAGTTTGATCAAAGGTTTTTGGATAGGTGAAAACTAAGAGAAAAACTAATAAATCTATCCCTCCTTATATCATATTCAATAAGCTCTATATGTGTTCCTTAGTGAAGCGGTGCAGACATCATACTGGTATGCCTTTCAACTATTTATCTGTATATCACAAGAGGGAAGTTTTCAAATAGATGGAGATTCTTCTAATTCACTAAGATGCCCAATAAAGTTTGTATTTTGTATCCTCAAAGTTGCAGTGGAGTAGCCAAGGTGTTAAGGTGTTTGCTTGTCATGCCAAAGACCAAGGTTGAATTCCAACACTGGTAGTGATGATGTTGCTGAAATACTGTTAAAACTCCAAATGCCTGCTATATTTTATCACCCACCATTTATAGCTGAAAAGTTGCATACAGATAAACCTTTTTTCATACTTGGGTTATGGTCACTGAATTATCAGTGATATGTGGTACTCAGATTGTGTGGTAGGGAACTGTATTTTGTGGTAATCTACTGGTGTTTCAATATTACAAACTACATGTACTGTCACGTCAGCAATTTGTGTCTCACATTGAGGTCAGACTAGCCATATTACAGTGATATTTATATTTTTATTGATCACTTTGACATTAGTACTCTGAATATACATGCTTATTGCAGGGAATAAATATCTGAATATTGTAACATCTGGCTGATCTGCCTTCTGTAAGCACCAGGCTCGTATGATATTTCAAGATGGATCTGGGGCAGTCGGGTGGCCTAGTGGTTAAAGCGTCCGCTTGTCACTTCTGAAGACCCTGGTTCGATTCCCGACATGGTTACAATGTGTGAAGCCCATTTCTGGTATCCCCCGCTGTGGTATTGATGGAATATTGCTAAAAGCGGCGTAAAACCATACTCTCTCAAGATGGATCTCTCGTCTTTGTCTGTAGTACCCACACAGTATGTTATCTGTTCATTATGATATAACCATCCATTAATCCCAGCCTGTGTTGTATATATGGAGATACTGTTTAACATACTGGTTCACATAATGATCTTGCTGTGTCAACTGACCCACAATGCAACTGTTTTTGCTATGAACGAGTTAGCCAAGACCTCTGCTTTTTCTTTTAATGTTAGTAACTCTCTTCCTTTGTCAAATTCTGTCACTATCAAATAATGTCATAGTGAAACGATTTGTACCTTTGTTGTGCCCATGGGCTGTTGTGAACGTGTGCAGCAGGCTGCTGTGTTCAATTTGCCTGAAGGCAGCGTTAGAAATTGGCACTAGTCCTATTGTTCTTGCCAAACTGCCCAATAGTTAAGGTATCATAAGGACTAGTAAAAATTTGGTCTTTGAAAGGCATTTAGAAGTGAGACACATAAGGAAGAGAATATATTGATGTCAACTTCTATATTATGAGGAACACAATGTTTCAGAGTATATGCTTACTCCTTCATCAGAAGATGACATCCATATATTCTCTTCCATTTTGCCATTATTAAGGTGTTTTGCTATTATGTTTTCATTATAAGGCCTAGTAGACTAAAACAGTTAGTTTCTATCACTGCTGAAGGCTGTTGTATAAAATTACCTGTGCACTTCTGTGTTCAGATGTGACTTACATGTGTCACTAGCAAGTTGTATGTCATTTTACAAGCTGATTGTCTTGGACACTATAAGACTGAAGATTGAGTGGTGTACATGAACAGTCTGTTCATAATGCCTCATACAACCTACTAGTGACACATGTTACAAATTTATCACTACCAGGTCAAAGTTATTTTGATATCTGTGTGACAAAAAGATTGTTCTTGTGACCACCATTGGACTCTCAGTGTGGTAACTTGAAGTATGAAACTAGTTAGTGGAGACATGACAAGAAAGTGACGCCACTTCAAACATCATAACATCATGATATCCATACACATGGGCGGATACAGCTTTTTTTTAAAAGGGGGGGTGCACAATTAAGATCTATTTTTGTCTTTGGTGGTAATTTATACAGAAATAAAGATTTTTTTCGAAATAAAAAGGGGGGGTGCGCACCTCCGCCTCTGTATCCGCCCATGCATACAGACTGGTCAGCTGACTTCTGGCCAGTCAGACAGCTAGTTCCTTGAACAAGTAATGATGCACCTCTGTCCTCAGAGTCCATGGACTGTTGTGTACCATTGCCCACAGACAGTTGTGTGGAAGTGCCTGTGTACCTCTATTATCAATTGCCCATGGGCTCTTGAGGGATCGTTGACAAATCTTTATTTATAAGTTACGAAATTTGACTTGATGTGTCCTTCCATCAAGTGGGCATGGTTTGATTTAGAATCTTTGCAAAATGCTCGTTTTCTGACATCTTCACTATGACAGACCACTATTTTATGCTGTAGATGTTTATTGCCAAATACAATTCCAGATTCTATATTGTTATTCTTGTACATGGCTGTGTTGAAGTTGACAGGTCTGTCATTGGTGGAAAGGTTTAATGCTGTTGACAGTGGGGTGGTTATGGATGTGCAGTAGATCTGTCTGTGATGAGCTTGAAGTCAAAAGATTTTGTTTGGCCATGATGTGTGAACTTCAACACAGCCAATACCTGTCAAGCATAAATGTGGACAAAGTTTACTTAGCTTCTAGATGCAAGAGATTATCTATGGTACATTAATAAACGATATTTGCGTGGCTTCTTTTATGACCTAGTTCAATGATATTTCTTTTAGAAAATCAGTCAGCAGTTGAAAAGAAAGCATGATTTTAGCAAGAAAATTATATTTCTGTTTGACAAACAATAGAGTTATTTATCTTTCCATATTTATTGAAATGTGATGGATTTTTTTCCCCTGAAATTTATCAGGCCTCCGCAAGAATGATATTAAGTTTGATTCCATTTTTATTACGACAAGTATATTGTCTGAAAAGTGTAAAGTAAGAAGCCAAATCAGCGCCTAACTAGTATCACAATGCTTATACCTCTATGGGTCTAAGGCGCCGTGATTCGCTGTGCAGATTTGCGTCCCTTGGGCACACCTGAAACCTATGATTGTGGGTTCGAATCCTGGTTTGCCCCGATTATGTTTCTAGGTTTGTCAGCACCATACCCATGCTCGTGGGTTTCACCGAAGTGGCAAACGTCTGAGACCTGCATTACTTAAGGCTTTCCTCCCACATTAAACTGACACGCCGTGATATAACTTGAATACTCTTAAAAGCAGCATTAAACCTCTTTCTCACTGAAATATCTATATGTCTCACCACCTGTAGTGTAAAGCCTGATGTTGCTATTGCAGTTGTGTGTATATTTTAATGGTAATAATTGGCTGAAATGATTAGCCCCAAAGGGTAAAGGAAAACACCTTGTGTTTCTGATTGAATGACCATAGTAATCAATATTTACCACTCAAACAATTTATTTGCTTACAAGAAAAACATTGGGATTTGTTGGACATAAAATATGTGAAAACAAATCACTATGTTAAAAGATGTTTTGTCTACAACCAACTTCAGTCATTATCAAAGCCACAACACGTTAAGGTTGAAGGACAAAGAGAGTGTAGAACAAGTGGCACAGAGCTCCAGCTTTGTTTGTAAGTAGTGTATCATCTGTAATGTACAGCTTGTAAGTTACAAGTTGTATACACTTGGACAAACGACAAGGGCAGATAAGGCATTCTTAAAAGAGGGGGGTCTAAAATATCAAAATCTTCTCTCAGTGGGGGGCTTCTACATTTGGTTATCAAAATGTTGGTCGGGACTTCCTGTGGATCCGACATGTCCCTGTTATCTTATCCAGTAGGAAAGAGATTCAGGACGGTCTGGGACTTCGGCAATTCTTCCTGTGTATGTACACACTCCTTTCCTCGATCACCAGTGAATACATTGGGCTATGTGATGTAGTGGTGACGTGTCAAGTTTTTGTCCCCTAATGAAATGAGGCTGCGTGTAGTTCACAGAAATCAAAAGAGCCTTACTCTATGCATGTTTTTATGTGAAACCTATCATTGGTACTTGCTGGTTTCCCTCTTGCTGGCCGTCACTTGCTTCTTTACTAGACTACTGCAAAGCACCCTGTATATTCTCGGGTGATCAGGGGAACGTGGTGTTTACTAACCCGTGAAGTATTGACAATGGGTTTATGAAGGAATCTTTGTAATTTTCAGACACAAGAGGATCATAATACTATGAAATTTTCACTTCTACAATGAAAACAGTTTTTTTCAAATGTTTCTTTCCACCATAAATATATGACATTGGTAATATTGTACATGTGGAATATAGGCTTTGTTATTTACCAAAGTAAACAAAATATATTTATGAACCTTATTGATAAATATACTTTTATGTCAAGTTTCATATTTCTTGGAAGTGTTCCTTAAAACAGTAACTTATTATAAGTATCACAACTGCTGTGATCCCAAGTGGTATCAGGTTTGTCATTTTTCTCTGTAAAAGGTATTTTCGAGATCTGTTCATATGCAAAATATGTCTTACTGCTTGTTAAAGAAATATTTTTTAAGTCACATCTGGGTAATGCAAATGTGTCAAATCCTTTCATTAACATCAAATCTATTACTTCTGATTTTGTTTAAAAAGGTCAATCTTTGAATTGTAAAAAGTGGATATTATTTTCTCC